TCCTCATTGAATAAACTGATGGAATCTTGTGATTTCTGTCCCGTAGTAACTGTTTTAGTGTCACCTGCCTTTAGTTTCACTTCACCTGCTTCAGTCTGACCAGCAGGTCGATATGACTGTCGCATGGCGTCTCTCTCAGATCCTTCATGAAGGAGCAGTGAATTTCCCTATCATTAACCAGACACTCTTGTGAGTCATGGTAAAGCAGAAGTGTTTTGTAATGTGATTATGGAGGCCATGTCAACCTTACCCCAAAAAAGATATTTGCACATATATCTGCATGCTTTCATAATTGGGTAAATGAGATTTGAGAGATCTGTAGTTGTCAGGGTCATAGTTTGCATAGCCCAGACCCATTGTTTTGTTTGAACTCTCACCTATAAACAGATTTTTGCGGATTTAAGTTCTTTCAAGGCCACATTAAATGGTGTGTAGTGGTTAAAGTTCATGGCCGGTTTGATTTCCGCAAAACAGGAGCACCAGGTTGCTCCAGGGGATTGACCCCTGTAATAAGTTCACAGCGCTATTCTGTGACGATAATCATGTGAACGTTGCGGAAACATATCCCAACGGTTATCACCGTTGTGTGCCAATAAAAAATAATCAAAGGCACATTTAGCTTTAGGATCACATAAACCTGAGCATTGCCTTCCATCTAAACAAGCAGGCCTTGTCTGGGAAATTAATTGAAGTCTCATATGTCCAGATCCGTCTTGTGAGATTATCCAAGCACATTCCCCATGTCCACTTACCATACGAACCCCATTCATGAGTCGAAATCTCAGGTGCAAGGTGCATTTGGTAGTCTGGTCCCACAAACAAGGTGGATTGCATTGACAGACCTTTGAGAAACCTTGGACGACCTCACTGACCCCATTTTTCCTTTCGGATTTCAGAAGTTTCTCAGACTTGCACTGACTTTAGCTGGCTGTGGATTTGTTCTCAACTCACTTGTATTTATTCCAAGCTTTTTGTTTTGTCCCTGGAGTCCAAAAATGAGGTCAGAATTCTCCTCCGATTTGTCCAAAGGCTTGTGTGCAATGTTTCTACTTGTGCAGGTATATGCAAAATCTTGAGTTTGAATGTGATCAATGCATGTGTATAACGTCTTTAACTTCTGTTTAGGTCTTTCACAACGTTCCCCTCGGGGAATATTCTTGAGTAAAACGCAAGCCTAGTTTGCCGACTCAGCTGTTATCTGGGAGCACCAGAGTTCTGGAATAGCAATGCTGGAATTCGGCATGAGTGAATTAGTGTTGCAAGAACAGTGCCTGTTTGTGCTTGGACGTCTCTTTTTCTCCTTCACTCATCTAGTCACTTTCACTCTCATTCTAAGATAGAGGAAAAGTAGGAGGGGTGGGAATGAAAGCGAGTTTTAGATTTCCCAACAACACGTTGGAGGCCTCAAATATCATTGTGATGTTGGCACGCTGTTTCTGGCTCAGATTCCTTCCCTGGCTGCATGTCTTGATTTTTTTGTGTTTTTTTTTTGTAAGAGAAACGAAGCAAATCCTGAGTCTGCACTCTTACCCTGTGGCACTAACATGTCAGTTCACTAAATGGTGGGTAGAGTGTAGAGTGACCGCCTAGGGGCCCTTGGCAGCAGGCCAAAGTTGTATATGAATATCACCTGAAGTTGGTGCATTTGCTCTCCCCCCGCCGTCTTAATCTTTATCCGACTCAATCCCTGGAGAGATAAGGGAAGTGCCATCCAAAGATCATTTTCACAACAGGGTAATTTTGGCAGCGTACAGTGTTATGAATAGGCTCTATTGTGGTGCCTGTATTTTGGACACACTCCAGATTGACTCCAGGTATTATTTTGCCCTGTATTCACTCCAGTAAAATTGCATGTCTGTCTGTCATAGGCTACAGTCTTTCCTTTTTAAACTGTATCAAAAAGTGTTTTCATTACCCTGTCAGACATTTTGTCTATATTGTGAGGAAATAAATGGAAGGTCCTGGAAAACCTGAAAGTATCCTTCCTTCCTTCCTTCCTTCCTTCCTTCCTTCCTTCCTTCCTTTCCTTCCTTCCTTCCTTCCTTCCTTCCTTCCTTCCTTCCTTCCTTCCTTCCTTCCTTCCTTCCTTCCTTCCTTCCTTCCTTCCTTCCTTCCTTCCTTCCTTCCTTCCTTCCTTCCTTCCTTCCTTCCTTCCTTCCTTCCTTCCTTCCTTCCTTCCTTCCTTCCTTCCTTCCTTCCTTCCTTCCTTCCTTCCTTCCTTCCTTCCTTCCCTTCCTTCCTTCCTTCCTTCCCTTCCTTCCTTCCTTCCTTCCTTCCTTCCTTCCCTTCCTTCCTTCCCTTCCTTCCTTCCCTTCCTTCCTTCCTTCCCTTCCCTCCCTCGCCACATTTATGGAAAAGTAGTAGAAATAAAATTTTAAAATTAATGAATTTCTATATTCAGCTATTTCCTTCCTTCCTTGCTTCCATCCTTCCCTCCTTACTTCCTTCCTTCCCTCACTCCTTACTTCCTTCCACACATTTATGGAAAAGTTTTAAAATTTTAAAATCTAATGAATTTCTATATTCAGCTATTTCTTTATGCATCATTGTGATCTCTAAAATATCTATAAAATGAACATTCATGAAGAAAGTATTTAATTCAAATGTAAGAACTGTATTTCTATCACTAATATTACCATTATTCACTCTCTCTGGTGAGATCAAGTCATCTGCATCATTTGCAAGATTAGAGTGTTTGACATGTCAATATTTGTTGTCTAACCTTTTTATGGTTAGTAGGTTGGCTTCTTTGTTTAGGGAGTGGTTAAAATCTTATTCCAACTCCAGACTTGTTTAATGACTACACGTACCAACTTTTAGTTAATTTCCCACAATGCCTCTTTGATTATGGCTCACCTGGCTCGCTCTCGAGTAAATATGACACACTTCATAAGCCCCAGCTGAGGTAAGGAGGAGGGTGTGGCCGTTTACACCTCGGTTTATTATAGTACCATCAACCATGTGCACCTCATCACTCACTCAGCTATAGTCAGTCGCCTTTTTATACGTGCTAGCTTGCACACACGTGAGGGTTGCACACACGGTGCAGGTTAACTCTCCCTGAATTTGTGTATGAGCTTAACAGTTCCCTTTTATAGGGATTTTTAAACTGTTTGGGTTCTTTAAATGGTTAACAAATTTATAAAATAGACTAATTTTTTTTAATAACTATATGAATTTGAAAAAATACATTACAGTAATATTAATATAATAATAATAATAATAATAATAATAAAATGTTAATTAATAAATTCCTCTGGAAGAAGGTTTGAGAAGTTATTTAAATTTTTTATTTTTTTTTATTTTTAAATTTATTTATTTTTTGTTATTTTAGTATTATATTTTTAATGGAAAAGTAGTTAGAATACAATTTTAATACAGTTTTACCAATAATTTAATAAAATAAATGAAAAAATTTATAATTTAATAAAAATAGGAATAAAATTGTATAACAATTACGACAATAAAGAATAATTAACAAGAACAAAAATAATAATAATATTAATTGTTATTATATGTTAATTGAAAATATTCAGGAAGAAGATTCGAGAAGGTGATCATTTTGTTAATTATTATTTTTTTTTATTATTTTGTTATTTTCCACACTTTCATGGAAAATGATTGGGAATGCAATTTTGCAAAGTCATGAAAATGTTAAGTTTGCTTTGAAGGATAAAAAAACTGCATGTTAATGCCAAGTTTTCCTGAATGTTGTGTCAAAAGCACGGGACTCTGGACTCAAATACAGTGTTCATTCTTAACTTTTGACCTTTGTCCTTTACTCAAAAAGGAGGGCTTTTCTTGGACAAGGCTTTGGTTTGACACTTAAAGTCTTGTCCTGCTGGTCATCGCACCATCAGCATCACGGGCTGGGTCGCTAACTCATTTATTCCGGGTGAAGAGGGAGGGACAGCAGTCTAAATGAACTGCTCAAATCCCATGATTCCTCTGTGCAATAAGAGCACTCTCTAACTGACAAAGTCCCTGTGTTCAATCTGACAAGACTTGCTTTTCAACAGGCCTTCTACTGTAGCTCAGTCGTGTGTGTGTGTGTTCGCGGTTGCCACATATCTGATAAGATGTTCAAAGAGACAGATAAATTCCTGACTGATGGTTTTCGGGAGTGCTGTACATTGGATCGCCCAGCCCTGCAAGATGTGTAAATCTGATTCGTGCATCGGGTCTTGGAAGACGTCCCAGTAATTGTTTGCTTTATAGTGGGTCTGTTCGTGGTTTTGTTTAGCTGTTGAAAGCCCCAGACAGGTGCTGTTCCTCCTCTCCTCTCCTGTTGTGACATTCTCTGCTCTCACTTGCACTTTATCATTCCGCTTCATACTTCAAAATGCTGTTTTTTTACATAACATTATACATTATGCATTTTCTTTTTTTTTTCCAGTCATCCTCTTAAAAATGCTGAAGTATTGCTTTTTGTTTTATTCGTTTGTTTTGTTTATTTTGTAGAGTTTGTAGATATTTTATCTAACAGTCTATAACATATTACGCTTTATATAAACTGTATAATATATATATACACAATTTAGTTATAATTGTAGATATATTTTAACATGCTAAAATATTTTAATATTTTAACATATTTTATTGTGTATAAAATGCTGTATTTTTATTTTATTTTGTATTTTACATTTGAAGTTTTTAAAAAAGTTTTCTCAAATGCATTTTTACACAAAATTATAAAAGCAGAGTCCCCCCCCCAAACATCACCACAAAACCTCCAGAGAAATGAAGAAATTAGATCTCTGATTTAATAACAAATAAAGCCTAAAAATCACGTCACAAAGCCATGAACATAATAAAGTTTTTGTTTATAGGTCAGGAAGTGTTTATAGCTTATTATCAGCCTATTATGCCAAGTTATGTTTTTTCCAGAGAGGGTTATGGGGTTATCAAGTCATGTGAGCTGAGTGAAACGCACTTTCTGTCAGTCCAGTTTGCAAAGCTTTACATGCGTCCATTTATCTTTTGTTTCTCTTTTTGTGTAGGAGGTAGTGAAGGTCAAGGCCGAATTCACCAGCGTTTCCCAGAGAAGGACTGGGAAGATAACCCCTTTCCTCAAGGCCTTGAGCTGGTAAGCCCATGACAAACAAACTCGCAGCATATGATATCCCAGAATTCACATATTTTGCCAACAGTATTGAATGATTCTGGCTGTGTTTTCATAGGATCTGATGATTGCATGGTTTTATCTCTTTCAGTTCTGTCAGCCCAGTGGATGGCAGCTGGTTCCAGAGAGAAAGCCTCCCTCTTTCTTTGTGTCAGTTCTCACGGACATCAACTCCGAGCGGCATTATTGTGCGTGCTTCACCTTCTGGGAGTCCGTGGAGAACCCGCAGGTTTGTGCCGAGCACGTGCAGATGAACAGAAGGAATGTGAGAGAGAAGGGAAGACTTCTGGAATTATGTAACAGGATGCAATGGGGCTGATGGGTGGGGTGATTTACTGCTGTGTGAAATGGATTATGCTGGTTTAGAAACCATTTTTTTTTGGTTGATTGGATGTCTGTTTAAATGATTTGGTGTGTGGTAATTATTCCAGGTGCTGTTTGAGGGTGTTTTATGCATTGTGTGTGTTCAGCTACAGAAAGGAGAACCCAGTGAAGCCGATGAAGATGACGGTCCAGACGTGCTTCAGCCTGCTCAACTCTACGCTCCTAAAAGCCTGGTCCTCGTATCCCGTTTGGACCACACAGAGGTCTTTAGGGTAAGAGACGCGCACTCAGGAAGTTGACGCATGACGTTTATGGTTCAACTTATAAAGAATTTTATAAAATCACAAAAAAAAACCCCAACTTATTTTATATATCGGAGAAAAAAAATGTGTTTTTTGGGATGTTCTTCTACACGTTTTCTTTTAAAAATCTAGATTTAATTATTTTTATTATTATTTTCAAATATTTTGTACAAAAAATAATTAAACTATTATATTAATATAAACGTTTAAGAAAGATTGTGGACTTTTTCTCAGAATAGTGAGATATGTGAACTCGCAATTGCAAGTTATAAAGTCTGAATTGTGAGATATAAACTCGCAATTCTGAGAAAAAATATAATTTACTGTACCTTTTAATTGTTTTAATTCTTTGGCGGAAACACACTTCCATAATCACAAGCACACTTTTGGTGGAAAACAATGGCACAACTATCAAAATTGTACAGATTTATTTTTATTTTCCAACCCAGAGCCATCTAACGGTCATTCTTGCAATAAAAAAAACCCCTCATCTACGTCAACCTGCTAGATAATGTTAAGTTGGTGACATTAAAATCCACAGAAATTTGCAATGTTAACCCCCCCACCCAACCCCCCAAATTTGTATGATGTAGCAACAACACAGAAGTGGCCTGATTGGTCAAATGACATCCCAATTGTTGAACCCTGAGGTCAAAGCCTAAGCCAGGAAATACAGGTTCAAATCCGGCCTATGGTGTGTCCTGATCCCATTTCCCTCCTCTAATAATTTCCTGTCCTGTCTCAAAAGTATCAAAACTTTAAAAAAACACAAGCTAGAGGGTATGATGTCATTAGATTTCCCTATATTTAAATTTACTCTTGCGTCTCTTTACTTTGCAGAACTGCTTAAGTCTCATCTTCACTGTTCATGTGGATGGCCTCACCGTTCCCATGGAAACGGTGATCGGAAACCTTCTCACCTGCATTATTCCTATAGCTGGAGGCTCTCAGGTAAGAAATGCGCAATCTAATATGTTTTAAACCAAAACCGATGTCTATAAATATTGTTTTCTTTTAAAACTCCAACACAGACTGGCTCTCTCTTGATGAATGATTTCTCTGGAGGGATTCTTATCAAAAGTTAAAGACACATTTATAAATTATCCTGTGCATCATGGGTAGTGTGGAAGATCTGCACTATTATGAATGTCAGAGATGCTCTAGTCTTAATTCTGTCTCAGAAAGATGGGCTCATGATAACCCTGAATACATTATGTACATTAGTGCACTTGATCACAAAAATGAGCAAATAAAAAATATATTTCAATTAATAAATTAATTAATGACCAGTTTAATTATTTTAACCCCATATTAGGTTTTTAAGGATTTAAAGGGACAGTTCACCTAAAAATGTAAATTCAGTCATTGAATTATCCACTTCACCCCATTTTTCTCTCTCAGTGAAACACAAAATAAGATATTTTGAAGAATATCCAGACTGCTCTTTTCCATAATGAAGATGATTAGGGGTTTGAGGTGTCAAGCACCAAAATGACACAAAAACACTATAAAAGTATCTTAAATGTAGTGTTTGTGAAGTCCTCTAAAGTCATAAGATCACATATGTGAGGTTGGACCTAAATTTGAGAACTTATTCTCTGAAAAGCATTAATTTTTAGAGCTTGACTGCACAAAACTCATAATGAAACATTGAGTTTCATTATGTGAAAAAGACTAGCCAATTTCTCCTTTTGTGTTCTACGAAAGCAAGTCATACATATCGGAACAACATGATGACAGTTTTATTTTTGAGTGAACTATTGCTTTAAATATGATTGGTTTTTCTTTTCATGTTATCACATTTGGTTTTTGTGTTACAACCAAATGATTCCCTCCCCTCAAGTGTAAACCTGACTCCCTTGTGTTCCAGATAAATGACCCCCCTCTTTGTAGTTTAACTGACTGGCTACTGGGTTGTTTCCAGGTAACATTTGCCTTTGAGCAGCTTCAACCAATCAACCCATCTGTGATTCTGCCTGATCAATCGTCAATCAATCTGCATTTCTCAGTCATTTCGAAATCACTGCTGCTCATGCAAATCAACAAACGTGCCTTATTTCTGTCTGACTCTTTGGCTGCAATCGATTGCACTTGAAATGCGTTAATCAACTTTTGTTTTGGTGGCAGTTTTTTCATCTGCTTATTGTTTGTTTTTATGGGACAGTGTACAGATAAACACCTAAGCACCTCCTCACACACACGCAGAGGCTTATGGGGCCAGTCTTTGTGTCCTGGGCCTGGTTGGCGTGGATTGAACATATGGGCTGGGAGGGTGGCAGATGGCGTCTAAGCACACTGCAGTGTGTATGAATGACAGCCTTAGAAACGCGCATGCTACGACTTCAGTGTGGCGTTTCCATTGTTTCTATTCTATGTGCGTTGGAAAGGGATTATTTTGTGTATTACATTACAATTATAAATTTGGTTGGTTTTGACCTTTCAAATGATGGTGGATTGAATCTGAATCAATTTCTAATTGGATCAGCCATGTTTGAAGCCATTATAAAATGCAGATGCAAAAAGTATTTATTAGTAACGTTGGTCAATAAAAATATAACTGTTCATTGTGAGTTCATACCAGTGAATGTTGAACTTAAAGGTGCGCTATGTAACTTTTTTTGTTCAAAATTAACCAAATTCAATACAGTCAATACACCATCAATCCCTTTTCCAAGACGTGTTTTTTGTCTTATCTTGACTTACCATGGCTTATATTTCAGAACAAGTGCGTGTCTTGTCATATCCGTAAATAGAGAAAAGTTGCTCCGGCTACTTTGATGCGCGGAAAGTGTGCGATAGATTAGTTGTCGCAATGATCCAGAAAGGCTGAGCTCAATCTGTAAAATATCAACCATGCCTTCCCTGGATATAATGAATGTCTTTGTGATCGAGACAAGACGTTTGGCAAGTATCTGTGTGTTGGGATTGGGAAGCCAGTGCAATGGGTGACTCAGGTGTGTGACTTGGTCATAAATCTGTGCGTGTATAAGGGAGCAGTAGTGCTGAAAATCCAGAGTCTCTGTTATTTTGGACTTCCTGGAGGGCATGTTTTAATGTCCCTGACCCAGGGCCGCAATGCTAGGTAAACCATGTCTGTCTGTTTTCCCAGTTAATACCGATACGGCCATACCAAGTCCTCAATGTAATATCTAATCTGTTACGCAAGTCAGAGTTTCCTAGGCTATTTCAGTAAAGGTTTTACCGGTTAGAATAGCAGCTGTATTTTCATATTCCTGTGACCCTTGCCCTCAGCTGTGTACAACCTTGTGTTGTGCATTTTTTTTTGTCATGTATTTCCTTGTTTTCCTTTTGTTTGCTTCTTTTTTTGTATTGCAATGTCTGTCAATTTTGGTGTGACTAACGGTTTGTGTTTTTTTTGTTGCTCTGTGGTTGCTAATCTAGCCGGGCCAAGACGACAGAGAGGAGAGCTCGGTACGCCCCGTTTGATTTAGTTCAGCTTTTTTTTTTTCTTACTGTCAATTCTGCTTTCCCCTCGTTTTTGCTCCACCAATTAAAACACTTGCTCAATATCAGGGGAACCAATTAGATTACAGTAATTCAGATCAAAATGAATCCAATATGTGACTAACCATTGTTTTAGACACTATTATCTGTCTGTCTATCTATCTATCTATCTATCTATCTATCTATCTATCTATCTATCTATCTATCTATCTATCTATCTATCTATCTATCTATCTATCTATCTATCTATCTATCTATCTATCTATCTATCTATCTATCTATCTATCTATCTATCTATCTATCTATCTATCTATCTATCTATCTATCTATCTATCTATCTATCTATCTGATGGAGGGACAGCATTTTAGCACCCCCCTCCTATTTTAATCTTTACATTTTCGAAATATATGTTCATATATTCAATAATGTCCTTCAGTTTGACCTAATGACACACCATAAAGAAGGACAAAATGTGCATTGCATGGCGTCTCCATAATCACTTAAAATTCCCATATTTGGATTGTAATTTTAAGTGCACAATGATTAGGGTTGTCTCAAATAATCACCATGATTGCATGATTGCAAATTACGCTTCTATGCAGTTCCATGTGTTATTGCTCTGGATTTGTCCTGTCATGTGGTCTCATTACAGCAAGCATTTTATGAGGGTGTGTAACATGCTCTAATGCGAGGCTGTTAAACGCTTATGTGTGCTGTGGCTGTTTGAAGTGATGATATAACCCCCCCATGCTGTCATTTTACAGCTTCCTCTTTACTTCCTGTCCTGATGTGACATTTACCTTAAAAGGACTGGTTTCTCGACACCTACTGACTTCACTTCTGCCTGAATTAACTGATATAAAATCAGTCCTAATCAAAAGTTGTAAAATGGTCATAACAGCAGTATGTGTTGGTCTGCTTGGATGGATGATATAGACTAATTACAACTGTATGATATAAATATTTTCTTTTGGCTGATTACCAACTGACTTAAATAAATGCTTGCTATCTTATTATCTCTTGGTAAATTTTGAAGAGGAGATGTCTGTCATTGCTCTAAATATAACCCTTTTTGTATGACCTCACCTCATAATATATAATGCAAATCATTGTATTATTCACTTGATACACCTAAACATTAAAATTGTGATTTTTAAAAAATTCTTTCTGGTGTTCAACAGCAAATTTTCATCCTTCCTCACCCTGAACTTTTTCATTTGTAACTTTCACAATAGAGCAGTTATTGTAAATGTGACTTATTCATAACAGGAAATATGTCATTTTCTTTTTGGTGCTGGTTTATAAATGGAGAATGGCTTTGAATTCTTTTTTCCCCCTTCTAAATAACCTCCTGTCCTGTCTTTAGCTCACTCTACGACCAGCCTGCCGCACACACATTAATCTTTCCCATAATGCCGTGGTGGAGGTGTTAGAGGGTGGTGCTTTTCTTTTAAAGATGAGCTCATTCCCATTGCTCATCTCCAATCTTTTCCCCTTATCTTTATTTTTGTTCTCTCGCTCTTCTTTGGGTTTCTACAGAGGACCATCACACTTGGTGCGGGTGACAGGCAGGTTATCCAGACACCCATAAACGACTCCCTGCCTGTAAGCGGCTGCAGCGTGGCCCAGCTTTTCAGACAGCTCGGTAAGCCAATCAGCAGCAGGCTTAGGTGCTAAACAGCAATCAGCCTCATTAAAACAGCAACAGTTGGTGTCAAGTGTCAGATGTGGACGGTGTAATCTCCACCTTGTGTTGTTAAATAAATAACAGGAAGTGGGACTGATATTTTTAGGCTAAGCTCTCTCTCTCTCTCTCTCGTAGGAATTGCGAATGTTCTCTGTCTGTTTTGTGCTGCTCTGACGGAGCACAAGATCCTGTTCCTCTCCAGCAGTTATCAGCGTCTAACGGACGCTTGCAGAGGTTTACTGGCCATCATGTTCCCACTAAAGTACAGGTAAAGAGGGATCATATGTTGCCAGCGAATTTTGGTTGCTTTAATAATAATATTAATATGAATAATATTTGTATTTATTTATTTAATAGTGCTGTTATTACTATTTTCTTGAGTATTATTTATTATTATTACTACTACTATTATTATCATCAGTATAATAATCTTAAAATTCATAAATACAAAATAATTGCACAAAATAATAATACATTTTATTTATTGCTTTATATACAAAATTTTGAACATCCCCAAATTTCAGAAATTTCTGGTTTATTTAAAATCAAGCAGATTTAATAATACATTTGAAATTTTCAGGGGACCAAATTTTCCAGATTTGACATTTCTGGTTGATTTAATAATAATATTGATATGAATAATATTTGTATTTATTTAATAGTGCTGTTATTACTAGTGTCTTGATTATTATTTATTATTATTAGTACTATTATTATCATCAGTACTAATCTAAAATTAACAATAATACAAAATAATTGCACAAAATAATAATACATTTTATTTATTGCCTTATATACAAAATTCTGAACATCCCCATCGGTTTTTAGCCCATCATAGTTGTTTTTAAAAGTTTTGAATGTAGTTTAAATAAAAAGGTACAATTTCAGATTGATTTTTGTTAATATAATAATGTTTTTGTTTGTTTGTTGTCTGTCGTTGATGTAATGCATTTATTATCTGTATTAATAGATTAATTCAATTAAAAATAGCACAGAATAATAATACACTCGATTTTCAGCAAGATGCATGATGACTTATTTACTTAATCTGATTAAATGGCTCTTTTTTTTAAAGAGAACACTGTTCTGTTTTCGATTTATTTTTCCTGTTCATCCTAATCTCAATCCTCTTCCATGACTTTATTCCCACTCTCTCCAGTTTTACATATGTTCCTATCTTACCGGGAAAGCTGCTGGAGGTGCTCAGCACGCCGACACCCTTCATCATCGGAGTCAACTCATACTTCCGCTCGGAGACTCAGGAGCTGGTGAGACGTTTTCTTTAATTTTCTTTTCATTCTTTGTGTTGTGAGACTGAGGATGTCATGCAACACACACACCAGGACTTTTTAGATAAGGTTTGATCAGATATCTGACGCGTGGTGCTGTGTAACGCATGAAATCACATGTAAGATGGGATTAGATGCAGGAATACATCTTCCCTCATACGCCTGAGTTGGTTTATGTAAGTGCATCTCAACTAGGTTTTGGCCCTTTTAAAAGTTAATAAGCACATTTATTTAGCTATTGTGCCTGATTATGTGTTTGATTGCATTTGTTATCTGGTTTTTGCTTCAAATCTGTAACCCATATTTTGGCGGCTCATTACCCAACAGTTTATTTACGGTAACATAAACACTGAATTATCATGGATTTATTTCTAAGGGCATGTAATAACTGGTAATGACTGGTTGCTTGCTATCACATATTTGACACTATTTGTTTAGAGTTTCTGGTGATAAAATCTATTCAATGGTAAATTTCTGACTCATTTTGAGTTTTATCTTGTTGAACAAATATTACCTGCTGGGTTTTTTTGTACCACCATGTGCCTTAACAATAGGTATTTACTCCAACAATTAAACCTGCTTGACTGTGATCATCTTGGTTAGCTTAGTTCAGGGGTTTTCAATCCTTGAAATGCGATTGACTCCCCAAAAATGATGATAAAACTTTAAAGGCATCTATTTAGTTTCATGTAATTTTCCTGCTCGTTATAGCACCGTACTAAATGCATCCTTTGTTTTATTTGCTTATTTATTTACTTTTAATAGGATTGATAAAATATTTTAATGTAATTATTTATTTATTGTAATCTAATTTTCATTTATTTTTAATACAGTGTTTCTCTAAACATTTAAGCCACCCTGGATTACGAGTGAATGTTGGACATCCCTGAGCATGTTTACATGTGATGATCTGTATATAGTTGTGTTCAAATGAGAGCTGGTGATATGATACTTGATTCCAGGGAATGACACTTGACCTGAGGTCACTTTGTTTGGACCTGAATGTTCCTACATGTCAGAATTTTAAACAAAAGACATTTGCGCAGGACATTGGGTCTCATTCAATAACTTTTGTCGGGAAAGCTTGAATCGGGTCTGATGTGCATCGTTTAACCAGTTTGGACTTGTCTAAGAGAGTTATTCTTTTGAAATATGAGTTGATGCCCATGTAGTTCAATGTGGGTCCATATTTACCTATGTGCATGTGTTATATTCACAGCTCGACGTAATCATTGCAGACCTGGACGGAGGCACGGTGACCATTCCGGAGTGTGTCCACATATCCCTGCTGCCTGAGCCACTTCTTCATCACACACAGACGGCCATCTCCATGGTAATAAACCCGTTTTACCCGTTAGGTGCATGTATGGCAGTCTCTGCTTTGAGTAATCACTGGCAGAGATGACAATGTCATAGTGAAATTGAGTTAAAGTTTTTAAAGATAATATAACAAACCACAGTACAGGGCGAAGAAGTGTTGATTGTTTAATGGACTGGGGCTATACAATTTGTTGCCTAGCCTTGATCTTCATGATAAGGAAATTAAATGGTTCTCGGCACACATTACTCAGCCACGCGTACTTCCTTGTTTAAGTTACGCTCACTGTATTTCTAAGAAGATGATTGGGCTCAGTTATTTTTACAGGCAGCTTTATAGTGGTTTAAAGTAGTTATAGGGCAATATTCTATATTATTGTAGTTGATGGTGAAAGAAAAGTGCAAATACATGTGGAGGGGCCATAAAAAATGTTATTGCTTACCAGTGCTTTAACTACTTGTTTACTTATCTCATTTAAAGGTATTTTTCACCCTTGAGATCACCTTGAGTTAATTCTATCATTTATATATGAGATGTATATATGTATATATTATTTTTAAGTGTTCTGATACTGCAAAACACTTTTTGAACAGGCTCTGACAGGACGGATAAAGAAACACAAGCAGAAATATCACAGTTATTGTTAACAATTAGGAAACGTCATTTTAACTTTGAGTCCGTTTCATACCTGGATCTTTTCTGAAAGGAAGTAATTTCTTTTTTCAGGAAGGGGACAATAAATAGGGTTTTCCGTTCTGTGCTCATACCTAAAAGTGTAAGGTTGTCTGTCTGTGTTGTTTTAAATTGCATCAAAAGTTTCACAGAAAGGTCCTCGTGTGTGCTCTGGAAACGAGCCAGTCCCTCGATATATATGCGTGTGTGTGTTTCCTCAATCTCGCAGACACTCTGCTGTCTCTCTGAAAAGTGTGTCTGTGGCGCCAAGGCAGACAGACCATCCCGGCAGAGGTTGCGTATGTGTGTTTGAGCAAGCAGGGCTCACATAACCGCTTCCCCTCAGGGAAATAGATGATAATCTTGGCTGAGAAAAGAGATCGCCATGCCTCAGTTATACACCCATTTCATCTGTTTAATTGTCTGGAAAACGTGGGGTTTCTTTGTTTTCTTTTTCCTGATCCTCACTGTTCTTTATCCAAAGATTAAAGATGCTTCCGATAGTTGTGTAGGCAACTACCGTCTTTGGTTTATGTCCCATGCTTAATCCTGTATCTTATCAATTAGCTAAGTGAGTTTTGTTATTAGCTCCAGCTCTGGACGGCAGCTTTCTGTCATTACAGGAGCGCTTATGTGCACAGATGAGCCAGATACGGATACTTTCAGTGGGAATTGGATATCGAATCACAGTTATGAAGACATTTGCACCTAATTTTTCAGTCTTCACTGAAAGCAAAATACTGATTTAATGTTTAAATTGAACTATGGTATATGATTTTGGGCCAGTTAGATTTCACTGTGGGCTACACGGTATGCAACACTGCACGAAATAACATTGCTGTTGTGGCTGGACAAAAACTTAAGGAAAATCTGATTTGTTGCTCTGTCATGTCACGGACACAATGAACATTGTTTTTTAAACTGTTGCAGCTGACATTAAACTGATTTATGACTTGAAGCTTAAAATGGTAGCATTGTTAAATAGGGGTGTATAAATGTGTGGTGCACCAATGAAAATTCAGTGCATTCATTACAGAATTAAATAATCAACTATAATAATAATTTTATGCTGCAATAAATTAGGTTCATGTCAGATCCAAATTCTGAAAACCACATGCAGACAATGTTATTTATTATTCAAAAATAAAAAAAGTAAAAAATGTTCAAAATTGTTTCCGTTCATTAAAATAAAGCTGCAAAAATAAAATATACATATTAGATGACAAACTTAGTTGCTGAAGTAAATAAAAGTAAATTAAAGCTTAAAAAGCTGAATATATATACTATGATGAAACATTATATTTTTGAACATAATTATGAATTGCAACCAAATATTTTGTGAATTATTCAAGTTCTGACCAAACATGATTTCATGTGTTGAATCATTTGGCAAAGAATCGAGTTGATTGTTAGATTGTTTGTATCGTATTTTCATTGAAAAGAAAATGTGACGTCAATTTTGCTTCTTATCACTGTGCCTAGGTATATATAGCAGGCAATGAAGTAGAGAGATTATACTGTAATCTTAAAATATATGTTTGTTTTTTTTTGTAATAAAGGTTCTTGATCCAGAGCTGGAAGTGTCTGATCATGCGTTTCCTCCACCATCCATTCAACCATCCACACCTAAGATTCAGGTACTTTGACTTTGAAAATGTATTTTTATCTACAAATGTTTTTCCTCCTTCCTTGTGTAATCGTCAGCGTCTGACGTCAAATCTAGAAGTGCGATTGTCTTGCGAGAGTGTCATTGTTTGGTGTGTGTTGTAGGATAAAGAGATCCGCGCTGTCTTCCTGTGGCTGTTCGCGCAGCTCTTTCAGGGCTATCGATGGTGTTTGCATATAATTCGCATCCACCCTGAACCAGTCATACGCTTCCATAAGGTACTGAAGACCCACCAATTCAATTACACACAGAGAAAATGCTAATACAGAAGGATGATACAGCTTGTTGTTTTTTTTCTCCAGGCTGCATTTTTGGGCCAGAGAGCTCTAACTGAGGATGACTTCCTGATGAAGGTGCTGGACGGCATGGCCTTCGCTGGGTTCGTGTCTGAGCGGGGTCCTCCATACCGAGCCACTGACCTGTTTGATGATGTAAGTCATGGATATAGCTGACATGCAATAAGCTTTCTCTTTATGTTTTTCAAGCTCTCTCTGATCTTTCTCCCTCATTTTCTTTCACTGTAGCTCATAGCCAATGAGGTGGAGCGCATTCGACAGGAGGCAGGAAATCCTCATAAAGTGATGAAGCATGTTAAGGAGCTGGCAGAGCATCTTTTCAAAAATGTAAGTTTTTTTTATTTGTCGCAACATTAAAAATAAAACCTTTCCAGGTCAAAATTGTTTTTCACACAACCTTTACTTTTTTACAGCAATAAAGAGTATTTGCGGTTAGGGATGTGCAATATCTGTACAATATCAGCCAATATATTAGTGTTTGCTCTCACTTAAAATGACAGTTCACCCTAAAATTCAAAGTTTAGTCATTATTTACTAACCCTGTTGTTGTTCTAATGCCATATGTTCTTTCTTTCTATTATGGATTATACCTTTAATGTTTATCTAATTAATGAAATATTTCAATACACTAATAATTGAATTGTATTGTAAATATCAAAATAAAGATACATTTTCCATAGGTACATTACAGTGTTGTTTGAACAACATTTACATTGATTGTTTTAAATTTAGCATAGCATTTTTAAATAGCCATTATTTTTAAAATATAAATACATATGTTGAATTTTTTTAATTATATTATATTAATAAAATACATAAGGAATATAGTATCGGTGCATTGTTATCTGTCAAGATTTTGTTAAGAACTCTCTAAACACATTTTTTCTTGTTTTTCTGTCAGGAAAACCCATACCCAGCGGTGACCATGCACCGAGTTCAGAGGACCGCTGAAAACGTTCTGCACCGGCTACCACAGTCCGTTTTCCCTCACCTGGACGAGGTCTCCGTGCAGCTCTTTATAGACCACGCCACAGCAAAACTCAAAACCGCCCCTCCTGTGGTCAAGGCCGAACTGAAGGGCATGGTTCCATCCGGACCTCCACTGGGTGAGATTGCAAACCCAGTGCTTTTGTTTTAATCTTCAAATCAACTCAAACTTGTCGCACTAATCGATATGTCCACAACTTTGTGCTAATCTTATTAAAGCCTATTAACATTTTTATTTCTTTGGCTTTTAGCTGACATAGTGGACAGGAACGGGAATGTAATGGCAAACAGCGCCCGGAGGTTAGAGGTGGTCAGGAACTGCATCACATATATTTTTGACAACAAGATGCTGGAAGCCAAGAAGGTAAGAACCTCTTATAAAGAAATATTTGTCAGTGCTTTTGGGAAACATTTATCGTGCACTTTGATCAACATACCTTTTACATTCATAAACCGCTATTACACATTCCATGAAAGGTAATATCTGAAAAGCATAATAGGAGCACTTTAAACATAAGCCAGATTTATGGTGTCTGTTTCAGTTGAAGCTTTTATGGTCTGAAATTAGTAAATTTTTGTGTGTTTGTGTGCAGTTAATGCCAGCGGTGTTGAGGGCGCTGAAAGGTCGGGCGGCGCGTGTTTGTCTGACCCAGGAGCTCAACCTTCACGTGCTGCAGAACAGGGCCGTTCTGGACGACCAACAGTTCGACTACATCATCCGTATGATGAACTGCACCCTGCAGGTGAATCACAGGAATGTGCTTTAACAGCTGACTTTCAATAAACCATCTACAGGGTTTTTATGGGTATTTCTCGGATTGTTGTGCTGCAATGAGGAAGTGTAAAATATGATGTTTTGGTTTAGTTTATGATTGTTATTGATCATCTGTTATCATAATATACCTCCATAAAGTGTGTTATGCAAATGTTTTGATGTCCGCAGATAAATGCTCTCTATTTTTATCTTCAGGATTGCTCGCATATGGATGAACATGGGATTGCTGCTGCCCTCCTGCCATTGGTCACTGCCTTCTGTCGTGTGAGTGAATAGAGTACTTTTAAGTATAATAAATATTTATGGTTAGCATAAAACATTTTGTAGATGCCTTAGATGCTCAGGAGTTTTAAGATAACAATCGCATTTCTGGGATGAATGACGAATAAGAGACAAGAAGAATAGACGAGGGCTTGTTACATTCCAATGAAATGTTAGTGAACGACTCGGTACAAAAAGTAACTTTGATTGCAGATTTATAACATAAAAAATACAGTATTTGTGTTGCTTAGCTTTAAAATAATCGGAGCCTAAATATAATAAAGTAACTTAAACTCGAATTAATATTTCACATGCAGTTAGTTTTTTTGTAAATAGCCAAATAATAAGTGGGATAATGTGCAGTGAACTGATTTTGTGGCAGTGACTAGCCAACAGGACATATTTGGCCATTTTGTTTGTTTGTCTGTTCTTTAAAGGTACTGGTTATAAGGTGGACTTCAGCAGTGGAGTTTACTGTTTTTTTTTTTGTGTTGTACAGAAATTGGGGGGAGGCATCACTCAGTTCGCCTACAGCTGCGTTCAGGAGCACATGGTGTGGACAAATATGCAGTTCTGGGAGGCCATGTTTTACAGTGATGTTCAGAAACACATCCGGACCCTGTACCTGGAGAATGGCGAGGGGGGAGACCCATCCACCCCTGTAATATTTTTTTTTTTATTATTATTTTTATTTTAATAATATTTTCAAGTTATGAAAGTTATTTTAAAGTGTTGCCTTTAATTTTAAGAAAACGCTACTGTTCAAAAGTGTTTTGTTCTTGGAAAAAATCTTACTTTCATTCAGCAAGGATGCATTAAATTGATCAAAAGTGACAGTATAAAAACATTTATAATGTTACAAAATATTTATATTTCAAATATTTTCTTTTGAAATTTCTATTTATTAAAAATTCCCTAATTTTCAAAATTCTTATTATACTGTAATACATTTTTTTTTTCCTGAGCAGCAAATCATCATCATAGAATGATTTCTGAAAGATCTTGTGACACTGAAGACTAGAGTAATGATGCTGAAATTTCAGCTTTGTCAGCTATATATATATATATATATATATATATATATATATATATATATATTATAAAATATTAAAATAGAAAACAGTTACATTTGTTTAAATTGTAATTTCACAATATTACTTTTTACTGTAATTTTGGTCAAAAAATGCAAACAAAACATCTTACCAACCCTACACATTTGATTGGTAATGTATGTTATTTGTTTTATGTTTGAAAATATATGTTTATAAGGAGTATTTTCTTTTACTGCTGCCCCTTGTATTTGACCTTTGACCTCTGCATTTTTCAGGAGGTGGAGGGCATGGGGGGTCAGAAGCAGCTGTCCGCCCTGGACTTGGCATCAGAGCAGAGCCGTCTATGGCCCACGTTGAGTAAAGAACAGCAGCAGGAGCGCGTTCAGAAGGAGGAGAGCACTGTGTTCAGTCAGGCCATTCACTACGCCAACCGCATGAGCTATCTTCTGCTGCCGCTCGACACCAGTAAAAACCGCCTGCTCCGTAACACCGGCCTGGGGGATGTGGAGAGCGTCAGCAACAGCTACGTCACTAACAGGTGTGTGCTGCTATGCTTGGGGTACAACAAGACGGCTTGAAAATAACATAACGTGGTAAAAAGTTAAATAAAAACTTATATAACACTAACTGCTACATCACAATAGTGCTTGAAATGTCCTTGAAAGTCCTGGAATGTTAAATTATCTGTACAAACCCTGAATAAAAATAAAATAAAATAAAGAATTATGATTTTTTTTTTTTAATTACAATAAAAATAACTAAAATAAATAGTAAAGCCAAAAAAACTAAAACTTGTAGACCTCTAAGAGCTGCATCACAGTTGTGCAAGTCCTGGAATTGAATTTTACAGTATCTGTATGAACCCTGAATAAAATACAAATGAAAAAATGATAATAAAATAAAAAAGACCACTAATTTTGTTTTTCATTCATCCAGTATTGCGGGCAGCATGGCAGAAAGCTACGACACAGAGAGCGGCTTTGAGGATGCCGAGAGCTCGGATGTTGCGAACTCGGTTGTTCGTTTCATCAACCGCTTTGTTGACAAAGTGTGCAACGAGACCGGCGTCACCAACGAACACCTGAAGGCCCTTCACACTATGATACCAGGTAAAACGACTTTCACAGACAATGCAGCCATCCGAACGGGTCTGAACAGTGCTACCTTTGTTTTTCTTGTATTTTTAAAAAACAAACGGTCATATGTTATTGTGTTTCTCTTCCAGACATCGTTCAGATGCACATCGAGACATTGGAAGCTGTTCACAGGGAGAGCAAACGACTGCCGCCTATCCAAAAGGTAACCAACTCAATGTTTTATCTTCCGCTGGGCAGTGTAGAAAACCAGGCAGATCCACCCACATACCACTTCAACCCCTCCACCCTTGAGTCAGAGTGCCACGGCAGGTACGTTTGCGTGACGGCACTGCCTCACTGACCGTGGCCTGAATGATGCATGCTGGGTCTTATTGGCCTGCTGTTCTGAGCACACTTTAGTCTGACGTTCTGCCATGCTTTCCTTTAACACATAGGTTTGATTTTATCGTAGATCCTGATGCAACGTTACCGTGGCGTCCTAGCAGAATGCGCTAACAAAACCTTCATGCTTTATTTCATTTGACTTTTCCTATGTATTATATTGCACAATCCGCTCTAATCTAAAAAAAGCAGTCTTAAAGGGATAGTTCGCCCTAAAATGACAATTATCTTCATTTACTCACGCTCACGTCGTTCTAAAATCTGGTTAATGTTTTTGTCTTTTATTAATTTTATTTTATTATTTACCATCATTGTATGTTACATGATCTTAATTTGCTTATTTATTATTCACTGTATGGAAAAAAAAACACACAAGAAAAAGTCATATGAGTGTGGAATAGAATAAATTGAATCCTTTTGAACTGTTCTTGTAAATGCCCATCTTTATCGCAATGGCAGAACTGCGCAGTGAAGTGTGGTGAAGACTTTGCTGTGTTATCTTTTCTTTTTTTTTCTTTTTTTTACTTGACTGTATTTTCACTCCACTGAGTTCTTAAGAAAAGTACTCTGTGCTGGAGAAGCCAGTCATGCATCTTTCATCACTCATTGCCTAGCAACCAGTGCTGTCACGGGCGCCGGCATTGAACACTTTCCCAACAACTCAACTAAGAGAGTATTAAAGGATCCCATCTACTGTACAGCTCTAGATAGATGGTCTCAAGATCCCGTTACGATGACACAGTCCTCTACAAGACAGTAGATGGCCATGAGATTTGTAAATCATTCAGAATCTCAGCATCGAACGTGGTGAAACTTGCCCTTGCGTAGGCGCCTGGAGAGTATTCTGGGTCAAGGAGCGCACTGTTTTTGGCCAATAATGCATTTGTTTATTTGGAAAAAAAGAAAAATGCTAGCATCAGTTAAATAAACATTAGCTTTTCCCTGATGAAAATGTAGCTTCTGGCCTTTCTGGACTTATGAAATTATATTAGAAGAACTGTGGGAATGAAAATGTTGTTTTACAGAATGTTTTAGAATCTGAATTCTAAATAGACCCATGATTTATGCCAACGTGAAATCCAAATCGACCCCATTTACTTTGTAATGCACGTCAGTCCTCCTATTGTGCATGATTCATCTGTGCACGGAATTTGGAAAGGCACAGAAAATGAAAACTCTTTCTACGGAGTCCTTAAAGGGACATGGTTATGCTTGCTGCGGTAGTCGGTACATCATGATGCATCATGATTTCACTTATCACGTGAATATATTAAGGAGAGATGACTGACAGGACGATGGTGGAGGATTTGATGCGCAACAGATCCTGATCATCATTGAGAAATATCTTGTAAAATGTGTGGTCAGTCAATACCGCCGCTCTTTTTACACAGAGTACTCAAGATATATCATTCGGTGTATCATATTGATAACCCTCAAATGATATACAATTTAATTAGTCAACTATATAATTGCGAGAGAGTACAAAACCATTGAAATATATTTTTATCTCCCATATTTTTTTCCCCCCATCACCGTGCCCCTTTAGGTGCTCTGTAAGATGCATCATTTCCTTTCCGAACATAGTATTTGGCTTAAGGCACATCCCTAGTGTACATTGTTCAGTAGAATGGAAAAATGTCTTTTGGTAATCTTACAAAAAAAAAATATTACAACTAGAATTGCTTTGTTGTTGTTTTTGGTACTGCAGTGTAGTCTTTCAAAAATATTCCCATTAAAAAAAATGTAATAATTTAATAAAAAAAAAATTGATGAGTTAAGATTAAAAAAAGTTAATGATTTAATTAAAAACATTAGGTAATTTGATAAATAAATAATTAAATTGTAATTTAATTCCTGTTCTTGTTAATATAATTAGCGGCAATAGAATTAGTGCTGTCAAATCGCTATATATATATATATATATATATATATATAAATGTGTGTATCTGTGTGTATAGATACTGAAATACAACTTGTATACAAATGTGCATATATATATATATATGAAAAGTTCAGATGCAAAAGCCTCTAAGTGCCATTTGAAATTTTCTTCTTTAATGATGATTTTTGTCAAACTTGTATATTTAAGTTCAGTAATTTCACTTAAATAACAATTAATAGGTAATTATCATTGCCATTTAAGTGAAATCACTGAACTTAAATATACAAGCTTGATAAAAATGATCATTCTAGAAGAAAATTTCAAATGGCACTTAGAGGCTTTTGCATCTGAACTCTTCATATATAAAAATGTGTGTATCTGTGTGTATAGATACTGAAATACAACTGTACACACATATTATATATTTACAAACTTTTATGTTAGATGCGATTAATCGATTTGACAGCACTAAATGGAATATAATGATATATTTGGAAAAGAAGGGTTATCTTTGGGGATATGTTGAGATGCTCCTTATTTTGGATATGTAACGCCCACATCATGATCTAATCAGTTCCCATAGATAGAATCCGTCCCACTCGATTGAATATCCTGTTTCACTCGAAAATAAGTCAACTCATAAAAGCAGTTTCATGTTAAGCCAAAGCTTTCTTTTGAATTTGGACTGACACTTCCTCATGAAGCTGAATGTGTTTTTACATGTTAAAGTCCATTAACCTTCAGAAATATCACACCAACTGAGAGGAAATGCTCCTTTGCTGTGTGCTGTATGTTTTTGTGATTTGAATGATCAGTTTCCTCCAGCTCATGATATGGTGAAGCATTCTGCATGCTTAATTTGAAGTGTGGTATGAATTTTACATTAGAGCCACTTGAGCATAATATATACTGACGGTTGTTATTTTCCTTTTTATTTACATCTCCTTTCTCTCTTTTTCCTCTTTATTTTCCTCTGTCTCCAGCCTAAGCTTTTGAGGCCAACTCTCCTGCCCGGTGAGGAGTTTGTGATGGACGGCATGCGGGTGCACCTAATAGCAGACGGCCGAGAGGAAGCCACGGGCATGATGGGTGGGCCGCCCCTGCTGCCCGCCGAAGGAGCCATCTTTCTCACTACCTACCGGCTCATCTTCAAGGGCACACCCACCGACCCGCTCGGTACGCTCCTATTGGTCATGCTTCTCACTGGGATTGATTTTGTTCTTGTTCAGAGCAGCAAGTCTCTGCTGTTGGTCATGAATTATAGAAATGTCATCCTTGTTTTATCTCATTTTCTCAGTTTAAGAGATGTAGGGCACTTAACTTAGCTCATTGAGCTCACGCTGTGAAGTTTGTAAATGGAAATGAACACAAAAAGCCTTTTTGGAGGTGCAATAAATGTTGCCATTTGTGTTGTGCAGTTGGAGAGCAAGTGGTCACCCGCTCTTTCCCCGTCGCCTCCCTCACAAAAGAGAAGCGAATCTCTAATCTTAATCTTCCCATGGATCAGTTCATACAAGAGGGTCTCCAGCTGCGTTCCTGCACCTTTCAGGTATCGAGCATCACCTACCTCCATTACTAGCAATAAATAAAATTATGCAAGTGCACAAAAACCCTTAATTGAATACAGATTAATATTATATTACATTCATTACGTAATTGAATTTGTTTATTTCACTCATGCAAGTACAGCTCATATCTCTTTGAATTGGGCACATCAAATTCTCCAAAGATGTTCACCAAGCTTACGATTCAATTTCTCTCATGAAATCTGACAACAACGTTATTGTAAATCTTGTTTCTAAATGCTCAAATCATGATGAAAAACTGCATTTTTCAGGCTGGACCAGCATAGTAATATGACTTACCATCTTTATATATCTACAGTTTTGTTTAGATGCTACAAAAAACCTCAACTCACCATTTGGATAATGAGAAGAAATATTTGATTTTGATTTATTTGTGATTTAGTGGCATGCTAATTGATCAAGCCTTTATTCTTTAGTTGATGAAGATCGCCTTTGATGAGGAGGTGGCGTCAGATCTTGCTGAGGTGTTCAGGAAGCACATGCATAAGCTCAGATACCCACAGCACGTCCAGGGCACGTTTGCCTTCACTGTGGGTCAGTCTGCAAAGCTGGTGGTGGAGCACAAGACCAAGGACAAGAACCAGTCGCTAAAGTAAGACCTGAATGGATGTTAGTCTATGATGGAAGGATCTTGCCCTTTAAACAACACACAACTCATTGTCTCAGTACATCATTTCTGTTTTTACGCCCATCTTTTTCTCTCACACTCACATACATGCTTTCCCGGTCCAGCCTCTTCCCGTTTGGGTCAACCGTCCCCAGTGCCATTGGTTAAATAGAAGCAGAACTAGAGGAAAAGAAATAGCGTGTGGTTGCACTTGCACTGCGCAAGCCATTAATTATTTGGCAGTGGAAATTTTGAAAGCTAACCTGCATTAGCAGCAAATGGATGCCATGACAAATAAATGCGGTTCTGGTATTCGGTGCTCTTGAAGGCAGGACCAATTATCTTCAAACTCTTTTAAGAGCAGCTTTTTGACAACAGCTCAGACATGTTATGTATTTAAATGACTTGGATAGTGCTTGATATTAAAATGTTTGAGTTGCTGTTTCTTTTAGAACGCTGTCTAAAAACCTGGTTAAGACCGCAAAGAGGACCATTGGGCGTCAATATGTTACCCGGAAGAAGTATTCCCCACCGACCTGGGAAAACCGCAGCAGTTTGCAGTCAGAGTTCGACGAGGATGAGATCTCTGGTGAGATAGACAAAAACACACACCTTTTGATCTTGTGATCACTTACACGTGATTATGCAATATAATGCAACTTCTCTGACTGAACAGTGTCTGAAGAGCCGGACCAGAGTTCGCTCACGCTTTCCTCCACCATCCGCTCGTCGGACCGCCAGACCATGAGTAATGTGGTCGAGCGGGCCTGCTGTCGCGACTATCAGCGTTTGGGATTGGGAACTCTCAGCAACAGCTTGACACGATCCAAAAACGAACCTTTCCGGATCTCCACTGTCAACCGGATGTACACGGTCTGTCGAAGGTCAGTCCCGGAAGCTAAAGTTCAAACGCTGTTAACCATTGTATTAGCGTAGTATTTATGTCTAAATCTCAGTGTGCTTCAGTTACCCAGGGTTACTGATCGTGCCTCAGAGCATCCCTGATTCCACCATCCAGCGCATCTGCCGCTGCTACCGGCAGAACCGTTTTCCTGTGGTGTGCTGGAGGAACTCGCGCACCAAAGCTGTGCTGCTGCGCTCGGCCGGCCTGCATGCTAAAGGCGTCGTGGGCTTCTTCAAATCACCCAATGCACCCACTGCAGGTCAGAGCCAGATGCACATTTTAGAGATTAAAATGGCCATTCTTTGTTTTTATTATACAAATAACCACTACGTCACATTTACATGAAGCAGATGAGCACAGGAAGGGACAAAACAGAATTTATTGATGGAATAAAACGACAAATTCAGTAAATAAATTGAAAAAAAGAAAGTAAATGCAGTCGTGTTTGGTTTCAGGCCCGTCCCAGGCCGACTCCACCAGCCTGGAGCAGGAGAAGTATTTGCAGGCAATCATCAGCTCTATGCCCTCGTACAGTGAGGCCAGCGGGAGGAACACACTCAGCGGCTTCACCTCCACACACATGAGCACCTCAGGTAAGACTGCGACCCTAACCTTTAACCTTAAATTATATGTTTATCTCTGTAAAGCTGTTTTGAAACAATCTACATTGTTAAAAGCGCTATATAAATGAGGATGACTTGACTTTAACCCTAACCAATACTAATCCTCACAGACAATTTGATGTACCTTAATGATTCACATGTGATATTCACACCCTCAGACTCATCAGACAAGCTGAGGCAGCCTAAAATTGGAGCTTTAATGAAACAAGTCATGGGGACTAAAGAGGACGTGCCAGGAACCTTCAGTAGAGGAGGTGAGAAGTGTGTTCGAGACATTTGGTGATCCTCACAACTTAACCCCCGCCCTTCATTCCTCTGTTCTCAACCATTTATATTCAAATATAATTTGACATCCAATACTGAATGACGTGTGCATTTTTGTATTGGCTTAATGCTATATGCTAATGTTAATTGTCGGGCTGAAATAGCTGCCCGAATTTGTTTGCTGATAGTAATGGGCATTTTTATGTCATCTGACCTTAGCGCTGGGTCAGAGGGCAAAGGTCATCTCCCTCTCCCAGCCTAGAGTTTCAGTCAAGGCCCGCAACTCTCCTAGAGGTACAGTAGGCCCGCCCCAGCTCTCAAATCTAACCAATCAAATTTCTCGACAATGACGGCAGCAAGTTTGAGCGCTAAGTGTCCAAGTAGTGTTGTCATCCTCTTTTACCTGTGCTAACTAATCGTTGACCCCCATGTCTGTTTGTTTTACTTGTACTGTTTGTGCGGATGTGATGATCATCTCTTTGCATGTGATCCACTGTCATCGTCTATAATGTGTTTGCAGAAATCACAAATTCTCTTTGCCAATACCCAAATAAACACAAATGATTCCACAAAGCCCTTAATTGCCCTATTCTCCATCAGTAAATGATCTTCATTGGTCCTCTTTGTGTTTCTCAGGGAAATGGGGCAGTATTCGTGGAAGTGGCCGACTCAGCACGTATAACCCAGATGTGGGGAACAGGCTGGCTGGGAAAGAGTCTCCTCAAGCTAATGGAGGCCCAACCGAGACATATTTCCTTCGCCAACAGAGAGCGTACCTCTATATCATTGGAGACAAGTCCCAGCTCAAGGTTACTGTCTTAACTCTTCCAGCCAATGACAGAATTTCCCGGCTTTCCGTGTTTTCACTGTTATATGTTAGGGGCGCTATAACACTCTTCTGAAAGGTGCAGAACCTCCTTATCAAAATACAGGCAAAAAAGAAGCAGAAACAAGTGATCGCATATGCAAATGTAAAATAACATGATCATCAACATTAAACAGCATATAAATCAAAACTGCCTAATGTTAGCATATGAAATGTCGGCCCAGGAAGTGGCTTTGGGGGTGCTTTGGGGTCAATCTACTCCATCTATGTTTTGATCTTCGTTCTGAATCGATGCAGTCGTAGTCGTTTTGTGAAAGTAATAAAAAATACTGGCGCTGGCTGGCAACTTTTTTCTTTTTTGTTAAACGCTGATGGGGAAAGAGTTAAAATATATCAAATTTCATAGGAATATGACTCTTTATATGAAGTAAAGCAGTATTAGTTGATTTCCAAGAACTGTTACCACCATTTTTGTAATTTTGAGGACTACTGAGGTTACTATGATTATCAATATTAATGATAAAGATTGAGTCATAAAATCTACTTAGATCAATAAATGATAATGTTTATTATTTTTATACTAGCAATGCTTTATTTTATTTTATTGTATTCTATTAAAGAATCAATATTTTTCAGGGTGGAAAGCAGGACTCCTTCCAGCAGTGGGAGGTGGTGCCTATCGAGGTCTTTGAATTACGGCAAGTGAAGAACAGTTTCAAGAAGCTGATGAAAGCCTGTGTGCCTTCCTCAACCAACAATGATCAAAACATGACTTTTCACCGTTGCCTGGAGGAGTCAGAGTGGATGAATCTGGTACCTTACACCTTTTCCCATTTTATTGGGTTTATCTGACAATAACAATAACATAAAATCCAGTGTATTTTTGATGTTGTTAATGTTTATTGTGTTTTATAGCTTCACAGGGTTCTACAGGTGTCTGTTCTTGTTGTGGAGCTGCTGGAGACTGGTTCCTCTGTCATGGTTAGTTTAGAAGATGGCTGGGATGTCACAACACAGGTAGGACACACATTTAAACTTGCATGAGTGGTGTATGCTCGATTTTTGCCAAGTGTGCATTAACACATGCCATGTGTTGGATTTAGGTGGTGTCCCTGGTGCAGCTGCTGTCGGATCCATACTACCGAACCATTGATGGATTCAGGCTGCTCGTGGAGAAAGAGTGGTTGTCGTTTGGCCATCGATTCAGCCACCGTGGAGCCCAGACGCTTACCAGCCAGAGCAGCGGATTCACACCTGTCTTCCTTCAGTTCCTCGACTGTGTTCACCAGGTATGTGTACTGGTGGCTGTTCAATGCTGGTTTTCCAGTAGCTATAGAGGGCAGGGCGATTGATAATATTCTTAACCTTCCCAATTTTTTGCTTGTCAAGAAATTGGTATCACTATCTGTACTAGTTGTACATTTGCAGTATATGCCAGTAATTTCATTTGTTAATGTCTCACCATTTTCTTTACACAGTCAAATGCATGCTATTTTTACGTACAGGATGTGTTGCTTGTTTACATTATTTGTATTGATTCAGTTTTTCAGTGGAACTGTTTCTTGAAAGTTTTGCACTGTAATACCGGTAATTAAAACTACATAGTCAAATGACTGTTTTCTTAAATGCTGATAAAAGCAATCACTATTCTATAAGGAAAGGGGTAAGAGAATACACTTTATACACTTTGGTGATGATGTGAGCAGGTACAAGAAATTCAGCTGGCACCAGAAAGCAGCTTGTTAATACATGCTGATATTCACATAGCTGCTCCAACTTCCTGCTTTGTCACTCTAAACCTACCACACCTTTGATGATGAGATGCCCTACTATACTTCACAGGATTGCGTAAGCCTTATCCTGCTAATTTACCCTGAAGATAAGGACAGACTTTATTTCCCCACACATAGAAAGAATAAGATTGCTTCATAGTGGGATTTCAGGGCAGTGGGTCTGGATTTGACAAGATATCAAAGATGACTGTTAATGTTTGCTCAATGAAAACGATTAAGCTTCTTGGAGTTTCAGGAGTTTCTAGGAGTTCTTGTTTCTTCTCACTTTTTAGTGCTGGTCAGAATTTGCCCCCTTGGTAAATATGATCAAAGATGGCTGTAAAAAATAAATCTGCATTGTTAATCTTTTGATGTTTTATATATATATATATATATATATATATATAAAAGCAAAAATCTAACCTTTTATTGAAGTTAAATAATTGAAAGTGTTGTGAAAGTACTTTATGAAATAAATGTTTTTCTCCAAAACACATTGGGAACAATTATTTGCCCCTTTTTATTAAATACTTTTTGCAACCTCCTTTTTCCAAGATAACAGCTCTGAGTTTTCTCCTATAATGCCTGATGAGTTTGGAGAACAACTGACAAGAGATCAGAGACCATTCCTCCACACAGAATCTCTCCAGATCCTCAGATCCATGTTGGCACTGCTTCTCTTCAGTTCAGCCCTCTCATTTTCTATAGGGTTCAGGTCAGGGACTGGGACGGCCATTCCAGATGCTTGGTTTTGTGCTCAGTGACCCATTTTTGTTTTGATTTTGATGTTTATTTTTGGATCACTGTTCTGATGGAAGATCCACACATGGCCCGTTTTAAGATTTCTATCAGAGGCTGTCAGGTTTTTATTTTTTATCTGTTAGTATTTGATCGAATCCGTGATGCCATGTATCTGAACAAGATGTCCAGGACCTCTGGCAGAAAATTAGGCCCACAGCATTAAAGACAGCAGAGTATTTCATTTTACACATGGGGTCCTTTTTTATCCCTCTATGAACCAAAGCCACCCTAAGTGTTTGCTGCCAAAAATTTCATCTGTCCATATAATGTTTGAAAAGTACCTGACTCTACTGGAATTTCAAACAGGATGGGTTCAATGGTCAGATGAAACAAGTACCCTAAAAAAGTACCCTATGTTTAAAATGAAATACTCTGCTGGCTCTTATATATCTTCGTACTTTTTAAGTAAAAGCCTTGGCCACTATATTTTCTGTTCCTTTAAAATGTCTTTTACCTCATCACTATGATTCCACTTTATATAGATGCCTTCATAATTACTTTTCTGATTGGTCGAAATGCATAGTAATGATTTACAGATGAACTATAAGTGTTCCACAAGGTTTAGTCTTGGGCCCGGTTCTTTTTGTCAGATATACTCTTTTGTGTTGTGGTTTTGGGCATATAAACTTGGCTGTTACAATTGCATTTGCTTTTAGTAGTCTTGAATGGTTTTCCAGTCAGTTCATATTTAATGCAAGCAAATTTAATTCTGCACATTAAGATTTGATAGATGTTACATTTCTATGGTTTCTCCCTCTGCTCATTTTCACAACAGATCCACCTGCAGTTCCCCATGGAATTTGAGTTCAGTCAGTACTACCTGAAGTTTCTAGCCTACCACTACGTATCCAACCGCTTCCGCACCTTCCTGCTGGACTCGGACTATGAGCGCATAGAGCTTGGTGAGTCTAAATCCTCAACTATAATCTTTGACTCTTGGAATGAGATGATCAGATCTTGTCATGTTATTGTTTCCTCGTGTATTGCTGTCAAAAGTCAAATGACTTTGCGGGAAGTTTTATAATACATATTTACAGTTTTCAATCATTAAACCCTATTTGTCTCTATCCCAATGTGTTTTCGGTTTAGGTGTCTTGTATGAGGAAAAAGGTGAGAGGAAGAACCCTCAGGTGTGTAAGTCTGTCTGGGATTACATTGATCGACTCAACAAGAAGACCCCCATATTCTACAACTACATGTTTTCACCCGAGGAGGAAGAGGTCACTTTCTAATTTTGTTCTTGTCTTACTTAGTTTAGTTTGAGATTTGTAAAAAAAAAAAAGACTTTGAACCACTACAATATTTAAAAACATTTTATTTTTTTATACATATTCTTTTATTGATGTTAGTTTTTACTACACTAGTGCCCTCTGTCGGTTATTGTGTGTAACCCACATTTCTATTTTTTTTTTTTTTTTTTTTTTTGCAGGTCTTAAAGCCCTACAGTTTCATCTCCAACTTGAAGGTTTGGGACTTTTACACAGAGGAAACACTTTCTGAGGGTCCGTCCTTTGACTGGGAATTAGTGCGGGGCCGACAGGAGAAGCCACAGGAAGACGCCAGTGAAAGGCAGGAGACGACAGCACCCAAGTCCCAGCGGAGGATCGTCTGGCCTTGCTATGACAGCCTCAGTAAAGTAGTGCCTGATGCCATCACCAAACTCTTGCAGGTGAGGATTAAAGTTAAAGTCCTCATTATAATCAAATTATTTTCTTCATACATGCATCCCGATTATCATCTTACTTGCGTGTGTTTGTGAGCAGGATGTGCAGAACCTAGAAACTGAGTTGGGACAACCTACGGAGAAATGGAAGGACACATGGGACAAGATTAAGACTGCCCAAAGGGTTGAGTCCAGACTAGAGAGCAGGGTAAGAGTCTAAACAACATCTTATCTCCATCTACGAATTACCAACGGGATGGCGTACTAATAGTCTGTCTCTCCTTCCTCAGAACTCCTTTTCCAGCTCTCTGCTCATGTCGTCTAATCTGAGTCACCAGCGGCGCTCTCAGGGTGTGTATCTGCAAGAGAGTGGAGTCGGCTCCTCCATTAACCTGGCATTGGACTGTGAGGGCAGCAACACGTCCACGCCTGCAGCTGGTCGGCCCAGTACCAGCACGCTCTACAGCCAGTTCCAGAGCACTGAGAGCGAGAACAGGTCTGTAAAGGTGTGATTTGGGGGAAATGACACTCTCGGCTTTAGTTATGGTTGTTTAGATGTAATGAGTTGATGTTTCACCTAATGTCCTTGGGTAGATGATGCATGACACATCCATGGACTTTTTAAATCAACTTTTAAGATTCAAATTTATATGAATGTATAACTGAAAATCTAAAGCAAATTTTTTCACATTTTAATTATATATATATATTTTGTCTTCGCTAGTTCATTTTAAATGGTCCAGTGGGCTGCCAAAACACATTTTTTAAATACATATTTTTTCATATTTTCTTAATTACATTTTTTTTTTTACTAGTGATGTTCTTATGTTAACTAAAACTATTAAAAAATAATTTTTGCTTTTTGAAATAAAGCTGAAATACAATTAAAAATATAAATATTAGATGAAAAATGTTCCAGTTAAAGTACTAAAATTACTATTTTTTTTATAATGAATTATAGCTTAATATAAATATTTGAAAGACATGACAAAATGACTAAAATTTTAACTAAAATAAACTAAATAATTTATTATATATTTTAATAATAAAATTACTCAATTTTAAACTAAATTTATATAAATTATTATCTAAACATTTTAATATATGAAGAGTTCAGATGCAAAAGCCTCTAAGTGCCATTTGAAATTTTCTTCTAGAATGATAATTTTTATCAAGCTTGTATATTTAAGTTCAGTAATTTCACTTAAATGGCAATGAAGATTACCTATTAATTGTCATTTAAGTGAAATTACTGAACTTAAATATACAAGCTTGATAAAAATGGTCATTTTAGAAGAAAATTTCAAATGGCATTTAGAGGCTTTTGCATCTGAACTCTTCATATGATAACAAATACATTTAAACTAAAGTTAATTAAAAATATGAACAAATGCTATAATATTATTTAAAATGTATTTTTATATTATTTTTTCATGTTAAAACTCTAAAAGCTATAAAGAATTTGCTGAATGATCTTTACTGTAGATTCAAATGCAATATGGATTGGCTAAGTTGAATGTTTAAAGGTCGGACCTTCTCTTTAATAAATTTTTTTTTTTGTTTGATATAGGAGCTTTGAGGGTATTTTATACAAAAGAGGTGCTTTGCTGAAACCTTGGAGACCACGTTGGTTTGTACTGGATAAGACCAAACACCAGGTAATTCATTGCAATTGAAAATATTGGAAACATTTTAGGATTTAGACCCATAATAGTATGCAGCAAATCTTAGATGCTTTCAATGAAAAATGTGTTTTTGTGACTGCTATTGATGCTCCTATACCCCATTTTCTCCTTTTCCTAGTTGCGATACTATGAAACCCGGCAAGATAAAGAGTGTAAGGGAGTGATCGAGCTAGCTGAAGTGGAATCTGTCATTCCGGGGACGCCCACCATGGGAGCACCTAAAAACATGGATGAAAAAGCCTTCATTGATGTAAGACAGCTCACATTGCTTTATTTGTTCATAATTCACACAGTATTGTTTAAAGCATGTTAACCTCCCCTCCTTTTCTTTCAGCTCAAGACGACCAAAAGAGTATACAACTTCTGTGCCCAGGACAGCACGTATGCACAGTTATGGATGGACAGTATTCAGAGTTGCCTATCTGATGCGTAGGGGCTTTGCTGAGGAGAGAACTGTGACAATTTGTGGGGGGGCGGAGCCAGTGACTGACAGTGCTCATGGCCAATGGGCAACGCTTCCCCAGAGTTTACAGAGGAAAGTTGGAACGGGCTTCCGTGTTGGTGGTATTGAACTTTACGATGTCGCTCCTCACCACATTTCAGCTTTGTTGTTTTTTTTTGTCGAAAAGCTATGGAAAAAGCGAAGAATTCCCTTTAAGACTGATATCTGTGATCTCACACGTACTCGGCTTGTTTTAAACAGTCAAACCCCCTGGATGTTCTCCTACGGTTGTTTGAAAAGGCATGATGTGTGATTCTTCATCTACCGCTCGCATCCCACCTTATTGCTCCAGTACTGCCAATGGCACCTTTCAGCTATGCAGGGGCTCTAAAAATGGCCAATAACAAAAGAGTGACCCCTAATGTAACATTTAACCCCGTCTGATCTCCTTACTGTCACTATGCCACTGCTTGGAGCCGAACTGCACATCACATGTCCCGGTCCCGCCTTCTCAATTGCTAGACGAGTTCTCTCGCTTCTCTCTGATTGGCTGGCTTCGTCAAACAGGGTCTCCGTGTAACGGTTCATGAAGGATTTGTGTTTAAGACTTGTTTTCCATTGTTATTCACATCAAAATAATATAAAAAGATCCATCGTTGAGACGGTTCACCATGTCCAAACTGTAAAGTTATCTGGAGGTTCACATTTTGACTGTTAACGAACTAAATTCTTGGGTTCTTCCAATGAAAATAAAAACCACTATTTTGAGAATTTTAAGGGATGCTGAAGGAAATGGAGGGATGAATTTTGTCATAATTTATGCACAAAAAAAAGATGATTCTTTGATTTTTTTCGAAGACAAAAGACAGACTAAAGGGGGGGAGGACGGTGTGTGGATGAGATTTATAACCTCTTCGTTTCAAGTTTCTGTTTACACCAATCAGAGGCCAGAGACTGTAGCTGGTCGCAATGACAACTGGGTTCCGCATCATTTCCTGTAACAAAAATATGCATCCGAATGGGTACAAACTTTGAGATGGAAGTGAGATATCAGACCTGTCATATCTATTTAGCAAAGTTTTGAATCAGCCTGTCCCGAAATCAAATGCGGGTGCCTGTGCGAGGCCAGTCGTCATGTGCTTCTGTTCTCCAGCCTCTGATCCCTGGATCTGTCAGAATCAGTGTTTTAGTTAGTCTGTTACCTGTTCTGTTTCGAATCCTGTACATAGAGGAGTTTGTTTATATTATTCCTTTAGAGAAAGGGTCTATTGTGCTGGACTTGGTGAGGATGCATAAAAGTATCACCTGTTTATCACAGGACTGCACCGTTGCAGGGGTTTTTTTGTTTCGTTTTTTTTTTTTTTATTCCAGATACAAGAACTAACACACACACACACACACGGTGTAAAATAGGGTAATACTTAAGATCTGTTGATGACAACAAAATTTGAATTGTAGATTTTTGTTTCAATAACTCCCTTTGTATATAATACTCAAATGTGTATGTTAATGGTAGTAATTTATTTAACTTTGTCTCCTGAATATCTGAATATGACAGTCCTCAGAGCACCACTTAACTTTTAAATTAGAAATCCAATATGTGCCATTGTTTATCTCTCTGTTAACGTGACTAATGATATATATATATATATATATATATATATATATATACAGTGTGTGTGTGTATATATATATATATATATATATACACATACATATATACAGTGTGTGTATATATATATATATGGAAACCTTCAGATGTGACTCATAAATAAACCCTACATTTTATTTTATTTTTTAAATTCCTTTCTTCTTTTACTTTGAAATGATACTTGATCAGTACACGTTCACATAATTCGAGTCCCAGGACGCAACAGTTTTGTAACATTCATGATATCTGAAAGCAAAAACTGCATAACATTTTTAATTATTTATTTTTCATACTTTTTTAATTCGATTTATTTAATCTGATCCAGGTTGTTTTGTCAATCATGCCATATATTTTTAGGATTAAACCACTGTGAGGTTCATGGCCTCCTGACATTTGTGTGTGTGCTGCTTTTTCTCTTTGTTTACTAGTGTCACTGCAAATATTTATATTAATTTAAAAATGAAAACATATGGGCTAAATATTTAAAAAAATCCCACTTTAAAATGTTGGAATATCTGTCCTTGACTGTCACTGTCAGTCAAACTGTGAGAGGGTTTGAATAATTTGACTGTTTAGAGGTGTAATTCTTGTTTTATGGATTGGTAGTGTTCCATTATGGACAAATTTACCAAAAATGTTTATTGTATCATCTTTTAATCACTCAAATCTGGTTCTAAACCCGTGTGACTTTTTTCCAGAGATTATGGGCAGAATGAAGGCTTTAGTCACCAACATTTTTTTGTTACACGAAGCAAAGATATACAGCTTTTGAACACCATGAGTTTGTAAATTTTTTTGTTAATTTAAAAATATTAAAAAAAATATTTTGGGCGATGCCTATAATTTTGCGCCTTCTAGCATTTTCGTATCGTAGGCTACATGTATAATTAGTAGTAGTAGGCTACATTTATGTGGGGGTATAGCACAATCTGCTGGTAACTTATTAACATTACAGTAGGTATACTGGCCTGTATTCTAACCTAAATATAGACCTGATATTCATTAAAAAAATGTTTTTTGTTGGTATGGAGCCACTATTTAGTTCTCGACAATTTCATCTTTTTTGACAGAGAACGATATGCACTGCAGTTACTCCAGCCTCTTAAAAATATGATTCGCACATCCCTTCTCAGGGGAAAAAAATAATAATCTTGAATCACAATAAGTGTATTGTGATTGTCAAAACATTTTAGTAACTAAACAGAAATTTATTAGGTTTAGTGACGACATGTTACAATGTTTACATGGTAACGTAAGCTACGTTTTTTTTTTTATTATTGCTTGACACAAATTTCACGATTTCAATTCAATTCTTGTGATTTGATTCCATATTGACTCATTTTAATATTAGGTATACAGGAAAAAAAGAGAAGAAAAAAAAACTCACCTAATGCTGTAAAAATACAGTCCTATCAGCTTGTAGCATTATTTAAGGTTAAAAATCACTTTAATTAATTACAATGCGTTTTTTATTATACCAACAACAACAACTTTATTTAATGCTACAAGTAAAAATATAATAAATGTAATATATTACACATATTTAGTAAAATACTCCGCTATATTTTAAACATTCTCTTTTTTCTAGTCAACTAAGTTAACGTGCTATAATTTTAGTCATTAAATGGCTTTCCTGAGGTAAAATGTTATGTGACATTTGTTCTCCAGCTGTTTTATTGACCTCTTTCCGCGGTTGATTAGACACTGATTGATTAGTAGGCCTAGAGATGATCTGTTCACGTGCCGCAAGAACTGTGGCGCTAGGGGGCTGTCGCGTCACATTTACACGCGCCAAAACATATCCTATTTATTGTTTAAATTTCGTAATAGAATTGACAGAATCTGAGAGTTGATTTTTTTTATATATCATAATATAAGTAACTTGCTCTGTCGGTCTCCGTGTCCTTTTTGCTTCGCGATTTTTTCTGTGCGTGAGAAAATGGATGTGGCGCGTGCGAGTTGACAGGCCTGCTCAGACTCCGGCTCGAAGGAAAATGTTTACTTGAGTTTAATATCAATAAGCAGTCTTAAATCAACGTACTTTCAACAAATTCCATTGTAAAAACACTCTTTGCATCCCTTCGATAGCTCAGTTGGTAGAGCGGAGGACTGTAGCGGTTTAACACTGAAATCCTTAGGTCGCTGGTTCGAATCCGGCTCGAAGGAGTTATTTTACCCAATTACATTACAACACGTTGAAGGATTTATTTCCAGCTTTATGCAGATGCTTTAGTTCCTCGGCTGTCTTTATGAATAACTTGCATGCTATTTAATTTGGCAAACAATGACAAGAAAATATTAATCGTGATTATTCTTGTGCTCTTCTCTCTCTAATATACATATTTGTATATATAACACACACACACACACACACACAATATATTTAATTATATACGATAAACATGACAAAATCATAATACTTTTAAAGAAAAATGTATTATGATTGTGTCATTAATAATTGGGCCTTTTATTTTGAAAGAGACTTTAAAGTTCCTGTTGTTGTGACGCCAATGACGTAAAATAGCGATTTCTTCTTCACGCTTTTCTCACATGGAAACCTAAACATGGAGAATTCAAGCACAGAGAAGGCAATTGATGGCCAGGTAAAGAATATTCTATATCCTTGCGTATGTTTTGTATGGTTCATATTCATTTCGACACACGTGGTACCTACAGAACAAGTGACTGTTAGAAAAGTGTAAACTTTTACTTAAACCTGAATTATAAATAATTCAGCGTGCACATACACCATGAACAGTAACTTAGTTAGATCACTTTTATTAACGGATAGTGGGTGATAAAGCTCACGTTGGAAGTTAATTGTCAAATTTGTTATACTAAATTGGAGTGCAAGTCACTGCATCACTTATATCTATACTGTGCCACTGCCACCCATGCGGAGTACTTAAAGGTACACGTTTGTTAAATTAAATAAATATTACGCAAAAAAACAAAAACAACTATAAACAGGACTTTAGAGGAATATCTTTGAAACGTTGTTTTTTTAATTCACACGAGGTAACGAATTTAGAAATCAGTCTTTCAGTTTTAGAAAAAGGCTGTTTTATTCAACATGTAGCGGGTCCACCTCTCATGGAGGAATGTTGATATCACGTGACCGTATAGGGGTTTATCGAGTTAAAATAATATTACACGAATATAACGTGCATTCAGTCACTGCTCAAGACATTTTATAAAGTATAAACGTAAAAAAATATTTAAAGAAAATAGCAGACACAATATAACATAAAGTTCAAAAAGCAATAATCTCATCTGTTCTCTCAATCTCATTTCTTTTCCAGGATCAAGATGTGACCAAATCTGAAACTGAGAAAATGGAATTGGATGTTAATAATACAGAGTTTCAGATTGAAACGAATGGTGATCAGAGCTCCGGTCCTCAACACAGACCAACAGATGAAACCTTCGCCAGTGGACAGTCTGAACAAATAGAAGATCAGAGCTCCAGCATTCAATCTGAACAAACAGGAGATCAGTGCAGCAGGGGCCGGCTTGGACCAGCAGAAGGTCCGTACATCTGTGATCAGTCTATAGACACTGGACATCAGAGCTCCTGTACTCCATCTGAACAAACTGGTGAACAGAACTCAAGTGGTCAACTTGTACCACCATCAGAGCTGTGCACCAGTGATCTTTCTGGACTGGCAGGAGATCAGATGCCCATTGTTCAGTCTGAACAAACAGGTGATCAGAGCTCCAGTATTCAGACTGAACAAACAGGAGATGAGGGCTCCAGCGTTCAGACTGGACCTGTAGAGATGCAGTGTGGAATTGTGGTTAGTCCACACTCCGGCACTGGGTCATTGGCTTTGTTGAGCATGCAGTACAGAGGAAACAGCTCGGATGACAACTGTTCAGACAGGTAAAATAATAGGACGTTAAACCCATGCCTTGGGTTAATCTCCTTTTGTTGTAGTAGCATCATATAAAGCTCATATGCAATCATTTTATGGACATAAAGAATGTTCCAAAAAGCTAGTCAACATGATTATTGATTATTTAGTGATGGATACTTAATGATTACTTTTATATGATTCAGTGACTCAGATTCTTCGTCCTCCACCTCGTCCTCTTCATCGTCCTCATCCTCTTCTTCCTCTGAGCCTCTTGAGATAGTGGTGAAGGATGCAGATGAAGACGATGAAGTTGTTGCAGTGAGCAATGAGAAGAAGCCAGTACCATTAAAAGTCCATGATGAGTTGCTTATCGAGGTGAGGGGAATGAGCTGTAATAAATAGACCACTCCTTTTTTCCCTAAACACCAAATCGATGTGTTTCTATTGACAATATCCCTCAATTTCTTTGATTAGATTAGAATAAATCTGCCTTGTGATCGAATCAACCAAGATGTTAATATCTGGCATTAATGTGTTTAGGACCTTCCTGCAGTGGAGAACCTGATCATCAGCCTTCCACAGGATACAGAGATGGAGCCCGTTGGCACAATATCAAGCATTGTGGAGCAATTAGGTATTCAGGCTTCTGGTAGACGTGTATAAAACAATAATATTGTGAAGAAAATCTAATAATTCTAAATAACCTTTTTCTATTGTAATATATTTCAAAATAAATGTAATTTATTGCTGTGATGCAAAGCTGAATTTTCAGCATCATTATTCCAGTCTTCAGTGTCACATGATCCGTCAGAAATCATTCTAATATTTGCTATATCTTTTTTTGCATTTCCTATGTTTACATAAACATTTCATACATTTCTTATTATCAGTGTTAAAAAGAGTTGCTGTTTAATATTTTTGGGAAACTGGCACATTTTTTTAGGACTTATATACATTTTTTTTTAGGATATATACACACATGCACACAAATTTTTCACTGGGCAAAACAAAAACCACCTTAGCTAGAAGACACCATGCAGGTTTTGTCTTGCCTGAATTTAAAGGCCATCTCATACAAAATGTGTTCATTTTATTTAGTGATCGTGGAGTCATACAAGAACACACCTGCACTGAATGAAGACAGTGTGTTATTCAGCAAAGACAGAAACTCTATTGGCAAGGTCAGTAACAATTATCCATCTGTGCCAAATTTATTGTAACTGTATATACAATTATTTTAAATCTGTTGTCTTGCAATGTGGAAATACTTCTTCTTTTAAAAGGCATAGTGTGTAATAAAGCGTTGTTTTGTGGTCTTAAAAGGTTGTTGGTTTCTCCTCAGGTCTTTGAAGTCTTCGGGCCGGTTTGTCAGCCCTACTACGTTTTGAGGTTCAACTCCCATGACGATATCGACCAGAAAGATCTCAAAATCCGAGACCCGGTTTTCTTCGCCCCTAAAATTAAAGATTTCACAGATTACGTCTTTACAGAGCAACTTTACAAGTGAGTACCTCATCATTCGAGTGGAAAGCTTGGGTGTGCCTTGGTTTTATTGAAGAACACTTTGATGCTGTTCTGCTGTTGTATGTTTCCTCTAACATTTACAAATGATACCTCTCAAACAAGCACCAAAGGCTCAGATGCATCCTGGAAGAATGACCAGGAACCACCCCCTGAGGTAAATGTGCCCTTTTCATAACAATTATTTGGGAAATCAGGTCAGCAAAGCCTTAATCTCTATGGAGAGAGTGATATCCTGCCTTAAAGGGATAGATCACTTTGAAATTAATTTTTGACATGTTTTAGCTTACATCAAGGACATCCAAGATGTAGGTGTCTTTGTTTCCAAAGTATTTCAAATTTTTTGATATTTTTAGGTCAAACCGTTCTTGTCTGTCAGTCATATAATGGAGATTTATGGGGTCCACCTCAAAGAGCTCGTAAATGTAAGTACACATTGATGGCCTAAGACACGAAGCGAGCAGTTTGTGGTAAAAACGATATAAATACCGCTCGTTTCGTGTCTTAGGCCATCAATGTGTACTTACATTTACGAGTCAATAAATCATGTTAAATATGGACTTCTCTTTGAGGTGGTGACCATATACCTCCATTATATGACTGACAGACAAGAACGGTTTGACCTAAAAATATCAAAATTTGAAATAGTGTGGAAACAAAGACACCTACATCTTGGATGTCCTTGATGTAAGCTAAAACCTATCAAAAAATAATTTCAAAGTGAACTATCCCTTTAATATGTCGTCAGTGTTATCTGTTAATAAGTGATGGTTTAGCCTCTCCGCTGACTGTTTTTTATTCTGTGTTAGGCACTTGACTTTAGTGATGATGAGCAAGAGAAGCTGGCAAAACAAAAGCTGAAAGAGAAAAAGAGACGGCAGCAAAACGATTCTGACTCAGGTGGGTCAAACAGTCACTTTATGTCCACATTTTATTTTTAGCATGTTGCGAGCTGAATTCAAACCTGCGTCGCCCACACGAGAGCTATGACTTAATGTGCTGATCATTCTCTCTTGTCCTATTTTTTTGGTTCCTTTACAAGAGGATGAATCGGATGTCCATAAAGAGCCTCAAAAAGCAGGCCGGCGGAAGCCCAGACAGAACCGCAACATTCCCCGTGGGCAGCAACACAATCATGGCGGCGGTTTTCATAGCAACTATCACGCTCACCCGCACTTCCAACCTGACTACATGTTCCGCCATCAGGATCCACACATGTTTCCTTTCCAGCACCCAATGATGCCACCCTTTCCCAGACCTCCACCCTTTCACATGGGCATGAACCCGTGGCCCCCAGGGCCCAATCAGGGCTTTATGTTTCAGCCCCCACCTCCACCACCACCACCGCCGCCATTTAATCAATAAACCTATGACTGAATTCTCTTCATAACCTGCGCCCTTAAATTGATCACAATCTTTGCGTAGTAATATAACTATATACAGGTGTGGATCAGACTTAACTGTATATTGTTAGTGCAACTGTTTAATTTGTATTAAAAATTATAAATTTCTTTATACTGTGTATATATATTTATAATTTTTCGGTGTGTCTCTTTCACTTTGTGGTGTAAGGCTTTGTACATTTATTACAAAGTATACACTTCAATAATGAGATTTATGTTCCTATTTTTTGTAGTACTGCCCGGTAGAAAAATAACAATCGTCAATCACATGAACAGTGTAGAAAAACAAATTTTGACACTTTAAGAAAAAATGTGAGTGGTGCTTGCTCACTGTTCTGTCCTTATGAGTTTGCCAAGTAAGATATGTTCCTGGAGCTGGATATTTTGTCTGCTGCATACATCATTGAGCCTGTCCGGTAATAGTAAAAATAATAAAAACAGCCGTGAGAAGAAGCGATAAACAGTGACCTATCACGTAACATTTTTTCCAGGGATCAAGCGCATAGGAATGCGCACCTATAGGAATGATTCAGTTACAGTTCAAGTAACCTGGCTAAAGTGAGTGATTGTCTTTTTCTTAACATTATTGCTGTGATAAATGTTGTCTAATTACCAGTTTTGTAATCTAATGGCATCTGTTGAACGAAATTAGTAATTTCCGATCCAATTCCTTTTATTTTTCCTAAGGATTTATGTTTTTTTTTTTAAAAGTAGCATAAAGTTGATTTTGGGCTTCATTATCTCCAGAAGAGTATTTATATATTGCATAAGGTGATATTTTCTCCTGTGGTTCTCAATACTTTTGACTATATATTTAGCATTTTAATTAAGATAATATTAATATAATCTTATAAAGTTAATATAACTTAAATTGAAATAATTTTAAGACTTATTAGGGCCCTCTTATTGGGATTGAGAACCACTGATTTAGTCCAATCTGCTCTTTTTTCCCCATCTTTACCAAATATTTTCAAAATAGCATTAGCTCTGTTATCCCGTCATCCCATATTCCTTTTCCTACAGATATTATTGATATCCTGGAATCTACTCGTCTGTTTCTGTTGTTTAGAAACGTAATTCTGACCTCAGCATCCCAAGTGTTGTGACTCAAGGTCACAGTGTGTTTCCATCAGATTGTTAGTGCCCAGAGCAACGTAATCCATCTGGGAACTGGCAGTTTAATATGCTTCCCTGCAATATGGGGCACCTGGATGGAAAGTGTGGACTGTGATTGCTATCTCAAGCATGTTTGAGCCACTGAAACTCATTAAGGACATTTGTGTGGGTTACTTTGCTGTTACATATAGCTCATTTTATAATTGGGGGGTATATTTACCAAAGAAAGATTTCTGAAAGATGTTTATTTTATTTTATCCAACATTGTTGATTGCCAATTACTTAGGCTAATATACCGCTTGACAATCTGTTATTGATAAAATATTGAAAAAAGTGAAAACTTACAATGTTTTCACCAAAAAATAAAAAAAAAATAAAAAAAAATAACATTGTGGAGTTGATCACTGGGTGTTTTGATTAACCAGTTTTTAGTTGGATGGGTTTGTTTGGTCAGTAGCCTACATAGTTGACTTTTTTTTTTGCCAACAAAAGAAAATAAGATATATAATCTTATAGAAAATTAAATGTAAATTCAATAAAAGAAACTTTTTCTGAAGTATTACGATTTTAGAAATAATTGTAACATGAGCGGCCACGTGGTGGTAAAAGGTCGTAGCTCTCAGAAAATTACGAGTTTACGTGGGTCCACAAATGAATTAAAATTAAAGAATTACAATATGCATTTAGTAAGTTTATAATTATTATTATTTATTTATTTATTTTTTCAAAAAATTGTTAGAAAAAAATAAATTTTATCAAAAATGGGCTGCTACATTTTCAAACGGCCTAACTTATTGTAGAATGACGTATTGATCATTTGCTGTGGCAGATCGTAGATTTCTGCAGCTTTAAAAAGAGTCCATAACCGTTTGCTTTGAGCTTAAAATGTTGAATTCCCTTTGAGCTTGAGCTGGTGTGTGTGTGTGTGTGTGTGTGTGTGTGTGTGTTTATGTGAAACAGAGAGAAAATGACCGAAACGGAGCGTGTTAACGGACTCCCTTGGTGTAGCTGTGTAAGTATGTGATTAAACTTTCAACTTACACTATACAGAAACCCTATCAGTTTCTGATGGTGTCTTTATGTTTGTTTTGAGGTGTCATTTAAGGGCAACATTCTTGGTTGGCCCTGTTTCAGCGATGATTCAGTTTCCTATCGGTGACGGCGCCAGCTCGGTTGCCAAGCAACGGCATCAAGATGCTGTGCCTATGACAGAGTGGCAGCTCGCTGACACGAATGTCCTACAATCTGAATGGGTTTGCAAACAATGATTATAAGCTTCTGCGAATGGCAGAATATGTCTCTCAGACAGCTGTTGTTTCTTAATGAGGGAAGTAAGTTTCCTTCCCTTAGGGCAGTACGCGCAATACATACTCTACGTTGCATCTCAACAATCTATATATATATATATATATATATATATATATATGTGTGTATATATATATATATTAATTAATAATTCAAATACAATTATGCATTAATCAAATAGGTTTAATAATTAAACTTCGCTTTATCAAGAAATCGATTTATCACAATTAATCACACCTAACAAAACATAAACGTTTGTAAATATGTGTCTATGTTTTACATTATGATAGCATACTGATATATATATATATATATAGATACATGCTGTACATGCATACTTATATATTTACAAACTTATGTTAGATGCTATTAATCGATTTGAATTTGAAAGCCCTCATTTTAATTTATAATAATATAAATAAACAAACAAATGGCATGAAACTTTGCAGTAATAAATACAATTAATAGAAATATGAAAATATTTTCCAAAATGCTTCCAAAGACTTAACAATAATAAACTTTTATAATATTTAATACTTAATAGTTAATAATTAATAATAATCATCATCAAATACTAAATATCTTAAAGGAATAGTTTACCCAAAAAGGAAAATTCAGTCATTAATTACTCACCCTCATGTCGTTCCAAACCTGACTTTCGTTCATCTTCAGAACACTAATGAAGACCTTTTCAATAAAATCTGAATGATGTCTGTCTCTCCATTGACAGCTACAACTACCCCTCTGATCCTTCAAAAAGTTATTAAAGAGATTGTAGAATAACCCATGAATTGAGTGGTCCACATTTTCTGAAGAGACACGATGGCATAATGATGAACAGATTGAATTTAGACTTGATGCAGGGACAGAAATCTCTGAGATTTCATCAAAAAGATCTTCATTTGTGTTCCAAAGATAAGCAATAAACTTGTTACTTTGTTTTTTTCCTTCTGTACAGTCATTGTGGCCCCAAATGTAAGTGCAAAATCATCAAAATACTCCCAAAAGCCAGCTGATTTAAATCTGTGGGAGAATGGACCACACAAAGCAATCTGATAACAGATGAGAACAGAGCAAAGTGAAGCAAAAGATAAAGGGGGAGCAAGAGAGCTAGATGGAGTGAGTGAGTGAGAGAGAGAGAGAGAGAGGGGGAAGGAAGGAGGGAGAAGAGACGAGACGAGAGGAGGGCACGCAGTAAACGACAGCGAGTAACGGAGACGTAAGCTGTCAGTGTCCTGAGCTGCACACAGATCTCATTAAAGGTAAGCAGACCAATGCTTTCTGTGTGTTAGAGAGTCAGAGAATGATCATGTTGCTGAAATACCCTTGATGCTGTGCAGTGTTTCAAGCTTTGTTTTGCAAGGAAACCAAGAGAGAGGGAGAGAGAAAACAACACAGTTATTCAGGAAGAGCAATAACCCATCTATAAGCAGTTTAGACGGTGATGTCTGCAGTTGTTTAGAGGGATATTGAACTGATCTGTGTGTATTTGTGTGTGTGTTTCAGGATGTATCGACCGTCGCAGCACAGTGTGTGTGGAGCCTGACATTCCTCGCAGGGCTGTGTGTGTCCCTCCTGTTTTTTGACCATTATCACTGCGTGTGTTTGGACATTTCACCCCCCCTCCAACCCCCACCACCCCCCCACTTCCTGAGGCCTGTCGCCACGACAACCATGGACTGCGGATTCCGTCTGCCGCCCGTCATTGAGGAGGTCTTGGATCCTGCAGGTGCGTGTGTGATGTTTCTACAGGTGTTCATTTGTGCAACAATGCATGCAATAATTATTGTTTTCTCTCCTCCTACCTCCATCTGAATTGTTTATCTGGTCTGTCATGAGGCAGAAGGTTGTTTAAAAAGATGAGGTGTCTGATGTTAAGAGAAACCTTTGTCAGTTTCTCAGTCAAAGGTGAGGTAAGGTTATTATGTGTCTTGGTTTAGACACATATGCGTAGATAAACAACAAACCTCAAACCTCAAATGGTTATTGATGGTGGCTCTCTGTTTATTAGTCTTCTAATGCACTTGCTACAATGCAAACATTACTTGTTTATCTGTATTTGTCTTGGTTTCCCAGTAGAAATATCGAGATCGCCTTTATAATGCTATAATGCTATAAACCTATGTATAAAGGTTTTAATAACTTATGTTATAATGCATTATATATTTTCATAAATAATTGTAACCAATATTATAATATTTGCAGATTGCTTTTTACATCTGAAACTGGCTGTTTGTCATGAGTTTAATGTATTATACTTATACTAAAGGTGTAATAATTTATAGATAAGTATTGTAAGGTACAGTATTATAACTGCTATTTATGATACATACAGTGCATTATAAAGTGCATTACAAGGTATAATATGCTTTATTCATAAAGGCTTTAAGGAAAGTTTTTACATAATATCTGAACATTCTGAAAACAAGATAAAGTTTAAAAGTAAAATATTGCTATTTATTTTCAGAGAGCATTTGTTCTTCAGTTAAATATTGTTCTTTCATCATTGGCAATTTTATTCCCTTTTTTTAATTATAACAAGCTTTAGCTAGTGTTTATGTTTAATGCAGCAACAAAATATTTCAGAATTAATATTAAAAGATAATTATTATTTGCCAATGGGATAAAAAAAATCAACTTAATTAGAAAATATTCTCTAAAAACAAGACTTATATTACATTTTCTTGAGAGGCATTTTTTTTTGACTGGGATAAAAATGGATTAAGATTAAAAAAGACAGAACATTTTGAATGCATACACTGTAAAAAAATATTGTTGGTTTAACTTAAAATTTTAAGTTGATTGAACTGGAGAAAGTTAGTTAATAAAACAAAGGAAATGGATTTAATCATCCGAAATCAAAATAATAAGTTATCTGAACTAAATAAATTATTTAAGTTGATTTGACAAAAGAAAAAATGTTGTGATAACAAATCTTGAAAATACTTGTATTTTTTTAACAGAGTACAGTATATCTAAATCTATCTATATATTTATATCTAGAGTAATGATTCAAACCACAATTTGTACTTTTGGGGGAAATAAAACTTATAATTGTCTCTGCATATTAGGAGATAGAGAAAGTATTTTAACATTCAAGAAATATGTACTATATAGATTTCAAACTTTCCAAAATTGCCAATTTTGACATCAGTGGTTCTCATGCTTCATGACTGACCTTGTCAACCAAGCAAGTTTGGTGTACTGTGGTCTGCGTGTGCGTGTCGGCTAGTAAATTAAGCCTGTTTTGTTTTTACACTCTGTATATTTACACATAAATGGAGTAGCTTTGTTACCGTAAATAAAACGTCTTTGAAGACGTGCAGCAAGGGGTTATGGGAAACCAAATACTTGCTTTCTGATATGTTGCGTTTTTGAGTTTTGAGTGTGCGCATAACATTTTTTTGTGCACACTAATGCTGCGTCTCTCCTCGGAAGGGCTTTTATGTCTTAAATAGCTGTTGTCTGCAGACTAGAGGGATTGTTTTAAATTGTTCCTCTGATCAAAAGCAGCGCTGAATGTGAACTTCAAAGCTTCAGTCCCAGCGTCTCCATCTCCGTTTGTCCGTTCCCAAAGAACCTTGCTCGCCCCCTGCGACAAGATGCATAAGTATTGTTTTACTTGATCTGACTTGGTATTACTGCAGTAAATTGGGATATATGTTTCTGTAGGTGGACTTGAGATAGACTGAAGAGGTTTATGAGCTCGTATGGTGTTCGGGGAACAAGAGAGGATCATTTTTGCCTCTTATTTGCAGGGCTTCCATGACAATTCCTTCTAAATGCCCTGCTGATTTAGCCAGCAGTGATGGTGCTGCCTCCTCTGCTCCATCCACCAGACACCCACATGCTCCACATTATTCGAGTGCCTCTTGCATTCCCTGTCCACCCCCGGATGATGAAAACACACGTTCTTTCTCTCACCTCCCACATTCTAGGTGCCACAGCGCCTACAAAGTTTAGGTCCAGTCAAAACCCAAAAGTTTTTGCAGCCGCAGCTCATTTACATATAGAGGTCCTTTCTCATTTCATGCTTGGTCCAAGCGAATTGTTCTAGAAAGCTTCACTGAGTTCTGACGTCAAGAGATTGACTGTTTAGTATTCCCCTTTAGCCTGCTTTTTTTTGGGGTCTTTTCACACTGATAGAGAAGTCCCCAGTCCCTTTATAGTCACTCTTTTTGAGAAATCTAAAAAAATTACACCTAAAATACAGTTACAATGGAAGTCAATGGGGCATCACATCGAGAGAAATGTTAAAATACACAGTCGTGAAAGTATAGACAGAAGACTTAAATGTTATGGCTTGGTTTCAGAGACCGGGATTAGATTAAAGCAGGACTTGGCCTTAGTTAAATCAGGCCAGTTGAGTATCTTTTATATACTGATGAAAATATCATGATGTTTTAGGCAAGTTGTACTGGTGTGCATCTTGAGACAAAACAATGGCACTGACGTATTTTAAGATATATCAGTGCAAGTTGCTTTCAGTTAAGATAGCTCAAATTTGCATTTTTGTCTGGACTTGGCTTAAGCCTTATCTGTGAAACCGGGCATACATGTCTTTAATATGAGACTATATACATTTTATTCTCCTTAAAGTCATTAAACCTGTTACTTTTGAATTATATACAGAAAGACACCAGAAAGGCCTTTTTTTACACACATGATCCACATGGAATAGCCATTCAAAATATGGTTTTGGACAACTTTACATGCAGCTGAAAAACGTTTTTACAAGCATACAGGCTACAAAATTTGTCTTAGAAATGTCTTGTTGACATTTCTTCAAGTGCACTTACACATTTTGTACAAACTGAAAGATGTATTGAAGTTATTTTCTGTGGTAATTTTTAAAAGTGGATAAAAAAATTGCAATCTCGATTCAAACACCAACATGTTCTCATTCCTAAAGTGTAAAGTGAAAAAAAATAAAATACCTTTGACAAAACCACACTGGAACATTAAAATCTGCCTTGGCTCTGCCACTGACCCAGAAGCAGTTGTCATGTTTAAGTATGAAACAGCTTCACAAACAATCTTTTCAACCACACTGTATACTTATTTTTATGTAAAGTTAAACAGATGTAAAAAACTGAACAATTAACATTTTGTCAGAACCTTTTGTAAATTACATGATGTTATTTTGTTTAGTTGTCTGGTCAGACATTTTTTTTTTTTCGTCCAGAATCGTGCAGCTCTAACGCATGCCACAAAATTTATTTCGGATTTATTCTGAACCAAGAATGTTCCTTCATTCTTGTTGATATGTTGCAAAGGTATGTTGACCGAATGACAAAAACAAGGCATGCTGCAGCTTTCCTTCCTCCAAATCTTCCTCTCCTCCTTCCTGCGGGTTTCCTCCCTCTGTTGCTCACTGACCCCATCGCAGATGTGAGGATTGGCTCTCTAGAACATTCCAGAAGAGCTGACGGCGGGAATCTCAAGGGCAGTTTGAGTGAGATCACGCTTTGGTTAGCAAGAAAAGTTACATGCAGAGGGAGAGATGGTGTACGTGCCGCTTGTGTGAGGGCCCACACACACACACCGAAATAAACTTTCTCATGAAGAAGTCCACTGAGAGCGCCCGCTTTGAGACTTTCTTCTTTTGGAGTTTAAGAGATTGAACTCACTTTTCATTCCTCCCTTTTCTCTTTCTCGTGTTTGTGAGTTTTGTGTGCTTGTTCTCATAACATAAAATTCAGAATTAGCCCATTTATTTCGCCAATCCATAAGAGCACATTATTCTAAAGGAAAAAAAAAATGCTGTTCTTCATAGTTTTCATTAAAACTTGCTCCACTTCTGAAATGACTTTTCTTTCTAATGATGTAATCCAGATGGCATGGACAGGGAAAAATAATATTAACCCAGTAGTTTTTTGCCTGGTTTTGTTATGCAAACCTGGCAACCCTGGTGAATGCATCGCAAATACTATTATCAATCAAAAGCCTATTATAATTTGTATTCGTTGATCTAATGTATAGTGTTTAAATGTTCATTTGTTTGGGGTTTTTTTTCCCCGTTTTATAACTCCTCAGATGACGAGATTGTGCATGTATTTTTTAATATGCATGTTAATGAGCCTCGCATTGCGCAGCATTATTTAATGAGTTGATAAACAGGAAGACAGGGTGGGACATATAGAACAGCCCCTCCCCTTTTTTAAAACATCCAATAGCGTTTTGTTTATCTGAGCTTGTTAAAGCCGCAGTTTCCGAACCGTTTCTCCTCGTCGTAATCTCCTCCGTATATCGTTGAAAAACTTCCACATACCACGATCCGCTCTGTGTTATCGTGTCTCTGGACCGGAGCTGCGAAGGTTCGCATGACACTAACGTGAAACCAGGCTTCATTAGCTCAATGGAAAGCATAATTACACTGTCTGAATTGTTCCCTACATAGTGCACTATGTGCTATTCACCATGTAGAAAATTGTAAATTGTAATGACCAATTTCAGCTGCAGCTTCAGCGTCTGTTTATAATGTAGAGGGCGGGGCGCTTCAGATTCTAGAGAGCATTTGATTGGACAGAAAATCTGAAAAAGTGCAGAGTGATCCCAGATAGCAAACTGACATTGAATCAACGTGGAAACATGACATCGATACAACATTGATCTAACATTGTTTTGCTCATCGAATTAACGTTGAACCAACGTCAGACGCGTCATTCTTTCAAAACTAACGGAAAATCAACTTGAAATCAACGTTGTTTCAACGTTATGAAAGCAAAC